GTTTAAAAAAACATTAGTATGTGACATACTGTTATACACATTTGCCCGTGCCTTTCCTATTTTTGATAAAATGAAAGAGCGTTATGTTGAAGAGCGTGATGTTCGATGGAATCTTGAAAAAACATTAAGACCAAGGCTGGAAAAATATTTTATCAACCTTTGCAAAGAGATGAAGATAGAAGTTTTAGCTGCCACGTCATTGGTTGATGTGCTTCGTGAGCCTATAAAATCAGAACTTAACAAAGGCATTGTAGCAGCAGTTGATACTAAGCTTTCGACAAAAAGCATGTTTTTAAGCAAGGCTCACTTTCATGCCAGTGTTTTGATTCAACTTGGAGAAAACCTTAGTTTTGAATTGTTAGTTCCTTATTTGAAGAATCATATTCAATTTTTGGAAAATAAATTAAAGGAATACGTGGAAGACTTTTGCTTGAACACAGGATCAAAACTTGTGCGATCTCTGATAAAAGATGAAGGAGAAAAGCTAAAATCAGATATTTGTTCTGCCATTGAAGATGCAAATGTGCAAGCTAGAGATGAAATCAAACAAGGAAGCGAGAGTTGGAAAGTAACGGATTGGATTGAAAAGTTTGTAAAAAAGTGTTCTTCTCTTGCCATCACTAAAGAAATGTTTGGTGTCGCTACAATGGATGAAGATTTAAAAGATCCCTTACTGATGCTGAACTGGATGGTGAAACTATTAGTAATTTGCAGCAAGCACTCTGCGAAAGGCGTTTTAAGTTACTGTTTGGGTGTCAGACTGTTTGTCCAATTTGTAACGCTTTGTGTGATCAGACTATTAAACAATCAAACATTTCAGACAATGGTGAAAACGTGACAGAAACATACCAACAAAACTCGTCAGAAATACACCGTCCTCTGGCTTTGACAGGTTATCAATATATCAGCACTAAGATTTTGGTTTCCGATATTTGTACATTTCTTGTAGCTGGAAATGGAACATTTCAAAACATTGACACAAATTGTGAACCACGTCCCTACAAAGATTATCAGTCAGTAAACGATTACTACAAATCGTGGAAAATTCCTCCAGATACCTCATTTGAAGCTTCTAAATATTGGCAGTGGTTCATGGTAAAGTTCTCGAAACAATTGGCGGAACATTATGAAGTAACGGAAGCAAAAATACCTTCGAGTTGGAAAAATGTGACCCTTAGCGAGGCCGTAAAACAACTGAAGGAGAAATACAACTTATAAAAATCTTCATCAAAAACATCACCGGAAGTCGATTTTTAAACAATTTTCTTTTGTAAACTCTGTTTTAGATCCTTTTTGGTGAAATATAATTTGATCAGTACCGGAAATTTTTTAAGAAGTAGACTAAAAATGTTGTGATTAATTTTTGTTATTGGTACCTACCCATGCGTTACTGAAATATGGCGATCAATTCGTTTACAACTATACTTATAATTTAGCAACCTTAACTATGTAATCTGTATTTATTAAAAGACATCCAGTTAAATATTCATTTCGTGACTATATAAACTACAAGTAATTTACCTTCCAAAACATCAAATAAATAATGTAACCATAATTAACAATTTTAAATACAATTTATTTTGCTGTGCTGGGTCATAGCTATAATTGCTAGAAAGACGAACTGAATAACATATTCACTATGACGAAAACTAATCACATTGACAACATCAAAAAACCATCAAAAGGCAATGGTGAGAGTCGAAATAGACTTTACCTCTTATTTATGATAAATATCCAGTGGGCTTTCAACATTACGTGGAAAGATCTTTTCTTTATGGAGGTCGTGGTGGAAAAGCAATATGATACTGACTTATTGGTGAAAGGAGAACATTGTTATGATTGAAATCGATAAAATGTTTTGTTGCTAAACTTTCATTTGGAATTTTGTCGTGATACATGTTTCTGTCACAAAAAGTGCTGTGGTTTGTTCGACAAATTCTTTTGTCGCTAAAATATTCCTTTAATAACATGAGCCACAATTTAATCTTATAGACTTTAATTAATTGCTTCAATTTAATTAGAAAAGCGACATAAGTAGTCATTCTTAATGTTATTTGTTGCACATAATTTTTATTTTAAAGTCTTGTAACTAAGCGTCATTCTCTAGATTGTAATTTCGTATGATGTATGTTGTGTACGAGTCTTAATAACGTATGAGACCGTCAATTATTAATTGTAACTATACTTAATTTTTCTGACGATACTTCTATATACCAATAATCGTTTACTTTTCTTAAACATGTAAAAATTTATATAAAATGTAAACATGTTATTATCTACACGGATATGTGTTATTGCATAAACTGTATTTTCGTTGCAAAATGTCGTAATATGAAACAATAAAACCACAATACCTGTACAACATTTGAATCATATTCATGCTTTGCATGTATAACTCACGGGAAAATGATCCACCATGTCGGTTGATAACAATAAAATATTACAATATTTTTTGTTGAGACACCTGCATGGTTGATATGAAAACCACAAAAAGATAATATCACTTATTAACTGATTATGGGCCCATTCACACTTAATTCGTTTGCTAATCGAATTAGTTGATTCGAATTCGATTCGTTTTTAAATGAAAAAATACGAGTGTTCACAGTTAAAGTTTTATCCGCATTATTTTTTGCTTGATAACATAGTATTATAAAAACCTCAAAAGGATAGATATGGATTAGCTGGTATTTTAGTCTAATTATAGGGTACTGTGGGTACTTACTTTAGAATCTATAGTTCAAGTAAAATTAATGTTTACATTTGCTTCACATGATTGACATTAAATTTTGGCGCATTTCCTAAACCATCTTTGAATCTCTTATAATAACAATATTTAACGAATATAAATGGCGGAGATTACTGCAATTAGCATACTTTTAAGAGAATACCAAAAGAACGCAAAAAACAGCCAAAGGATCGAGGGTAATACGAAAAAAATTCTGCAATAATTTCAAAAGGATGCAAGGTATCGCATAGCGTTACTTCTTGCTTATAAGTAAAATTGTAAAATATTACTGCAAGCAAACACAGCAAAACGAACACGTGACATGTGTGACCGCACGAAAAGTTTATTTACAAAGCTAAAAACTTGATTGATCAAGATTGATCTGATTCTATTCGTGTTGCATGTTTATATTATCATGCAGACTAAACTAATCCGATTTGAAACCACCTTCTCAACTGGCCCATGTTAGTTCGGATCGAATTCTTTTTAGCATCACTTGCAAGTGTTCACATTAGCCCTCATACGGACTCGAATCGATTTCGAATTGATTTAAAGTGTTAGTGTGAATGGGCCCTAAATCAAAGGAAACAACGTGTTTTTATTGGATTTTTCTTAGTCAAAGCAAACACTGCATGAGAAGGTCGTACTGAGCCCTTTCTTGAAACATCCTATATTTTAGGTGTTTTAGCGTTGTGAAAGAGAAAAAATAGCTCTATATTTCATCTTTGCAGAAGCTTGCAAGTCTGTTAAATGTTTTTATGTAAATGTACCAAATGATTTCCTAAATTAATGTTCATAGTCTTAATGTTCCATAGCGTCACATCAGCTAAAGTTAAAATAGGAAATCTTAGGTAATATAAAATCATCTTTCGTGTTTGTTGCACGCATGCCGTGTTTATGTAATACCAAAAGAACTTTTGATTGTCTGGGGTCTAGAAATTTTTTCAACTAGATAGCTCACTAATTTTGCAATCTGGAGAGTTGCTTTGACTATAACCATTCTACCAAAAATGTTTTAGCTGCAAGACATCCGTTTGCCGAAGTGTGCTTCGTCGGGGTGGATAATTTGACCATTTCTAAATCTTTTCTGATGAATAATGTTATTAGTGAAATAATATGAAAGATGGTAAATTTAGAGGCAAAATCATAAATGCATGGCTTTGTGGAGCTTGTATGTGGTATCTTGCCGTTGGTCTGACATGATTATTTTGAAAAGCAAAATTTATTGTCCCAATGTCCTTGTAGAATTTTGTTATTCCAGTTTTTTTACTGAACAGATAGAAATACTCTGCTTAATCATAGACATTGCTTTCATAAATTCAAAACAAAAAGATGATAAAGTTTTTCAATCAGTCAAAGTTGCCAAATTAAGGTAAAACATTGATTTTTCATGTGAAAATAGATTATTAAGCGATGAAAAACTTTAAAGATGAAGAGGATGAAGATCCATCGAAATTTTCTTTTGCTACAAGGTCCAAGAAACCCAACCGATACATTTTTATTTGTATTACAAGAGTGACAAGGAGCTGAACCAAAAGCTTTAGTGAAGTATCGAACCGTTACAGAAGCATTTAATTTTCATGATGATAAGTCTCTGGACATTTTTGCTTGGATGAATAATTTTAAAATTCGTTGAAGAAAGAGTGAAAGAAGTGAAAAATTTTCTAAAGTTGCAACAACATGGCCCAGTTTTGGCTGATTTGGAATGATAAAATATTATGCTGAATTGTGGGGCAATGATGAAAGGCCAACGTGTAGCATGAGAAAAATGGATGATGTCTGTAAGGATATTTAAAAAAATGCTGAACATAAGATTTCTTTCATGAAGACATTATGTATTGAACATCAGCCACCATTGTGTAATTGTTTTTGAAATTAGAAGATTATAGAAGATTTAGATTTTACAACTGGTGCAACTATCAAAGTGACAAAACAGGATTTCCTCCAGATGATGAAGTAAAAAATGACGACGATTTCTTCGTCGACAATTTCCTTGACAAAGATTATGGTATTTAAGACGAGGATTATGATACATTAAAGTTTCACTCACCGCCATACTCTTGAGACTCATAAACAATGTCGCCCACTAATGCTGTTTGGTGCTCACAATAACACTCATAAAATATTCTTTTGTATCAAACAATAAACATGGCTTAATTGCGTATATCTATGAGAGGATATGTTGCTGATATCTATGAGCATGAAAGAATTAAGCTTCAAGCAAAAATTAAGTAAAAAGTAAAAACGTCTCGATTTTTTGCATCAGTGCACTCGTTTTTTAGCATTTGGCTAGTTCCAATATTATCATGCACTCTGCATGACGTTCTTAGTCATGTATTTTTATTTAAATGATAATTGCTGTTAGTCACTGATGTAAACGTCGTTATATAACTGAGATGTTCTACGTTGAAGTCATTAATGTTAATGAAACAGTTTGTTGAAGAAAAGTCTTAATTTGCCTTATCTTCGTTCGTTATCCGAATGCGCTTATGCAACGAAACTCACATGGATCAAAAGAAATTGATACTGAATTAAGGTATGAAGTTTAATCGCAATTTTTCACCTGCTATTCAAGTGGTTGTGTTGCTTTTATTTTATCTTTCACTTTGTATCGGGTGTGTGTCAGTGATAAATGAAAAGATTAAGCATGCAGTCACTTTAACTGAAGTTTTAAAGTCCAAATTCTAAAACTATAGTGTAATTTAGAAAATACAAACGAGATTTCGAAACTGCATTCCTGACATTACAAGTTTACTGAAGCATCGCCATGAAGATGAAATGAACATGCACGACATGTCGATGTTCAATGTTTTTATCCCAAATTAAACTCATATTCCTAAAGCTATAAGTGCCTTTTGAATTATAGTCAATTTTGTTAATACGACTAAAACTTGTGTTTCATTTTACATTTCTTAACATTGTCTTTAATGAAAATCTGCATGTACATTCTATTATCAAAAATTAATCTTAATGCGTTGAAAAGAGTAGAAGGAAAGCTTCTATGATTTCAAAATAAGCTTAAATCTAAGTTCTGAAAGAAAAGTGATTTACAAAAAAAATTAATAAAAATGATGTCATAGAACAATTTATAATTAGGCTTGGCTATAAGTCTTACATTCTACTGACGTAAAATCACCAACGTCTCACGTCAATACGGGGAAGACCTTGCCCCCAAAAGGAATATTTAAGCCTGGTTACAATTTTGTGTCTACTTTGGACAAGTGAATGAAAAGTGTTTGTAAAATTTGAAAACAACGATGATTTCATTCTTTATATGAACATCAACAGCTTGAAGCTGAAATGAAAGACAACAAAACTCTCGTGCCTTAAATTCCATTTTTGTTATTGATGATAATTACTGCAAACAACACTGGCTGATTTTTGACTGTGAGATATCAAGGAGCACCAGATAATCTATTTGTTGCTGGTGCAGCAAAGAAATCCCCATTGCATGAAGTTGGATTGAAAAAAATTCCAAAAATTGTTTATAGGTCAAAAAAAACCTGAAGAACGTTCTTTTGGAATAAGAAAAGGACATTGATAGTAAGTCTAACTACTGCTTTAGCAACTTTTTACGATTAACTAAATTAATAGAGCTGCAACTTTTATGAACCCCGAAATTCGTACAATAAAGATTGTATTTCACGGATGCATCAAAGCAAGGCTGTATATGCATGGGTCTGTTCGATGCCAACAATAAACCAAATGAAAATGTTTTAAAGAAACGTTTTCATATCGATTTTCTTGAGCTGCAAGGAGCTTTTTTAGCAATTCAATCTCTTTTGACAAACGAGCTCCTCATTAACTGTGTTCCTGAACGTGTGCAACACTACATCAGTTCATACATGAATCATATAAGTGTGGCACATTCTCTTTAACTCATTCAACTTGCTCAGGATCGTTTGACTTGGTGCATCAAGGGAGACATATTTGTGATAGTGTTTCAGGCAAGTGAAACAGCTGCCCAGATTATGACTTCCTTGAGTTCTTTCTGTTCGGGTAGCAATGACTTGATGCTAGATCAAACATCATTAATCCCTTGTTTGATCAATGAAAAAGCCGATTACTTCTCCTTGAGATCAACTTACTATCTCCCAATTTCCTAAGCTGAAGACCAGACCCGGTGTGAGTAACTCAGCTTTTGAGTATCTTCGTACATAAATCCCCATGGCTTTGTACCTCCCCGACCAATATGGCTGCCATGTTTTTGTTATCTCCACACAACGTTCACAAATGATTTCCCACTAAATTTTGCGAAAACAAACTCAAATTTTAATACTTTAAAACTTCAAAGCGCAAACAATAGAACACACTGGGTTTACCAATGTGAACAAAATCATTTAGTTGACAGATTTTCCACACACATTTTATTAATGGAAGGTTGTTTGAAGTCGACCAGTGAAGTTGAATATACATTTGAAAGTTTTGTTCTAGTGGAGTGTGGTTTTGATCAGCATTAACTTATTTACAGTTGTGATCGCTCAGGAAAACTTGAAACAGTGGCTAATCATTTGAATTTTACTTACACTCTATGCCTTTATTTTACCTTTTGTTCAGTTAAAACAGCTTGGAAATACTAGAAAATTTCATATCTATAATAAGTGGTCTTTTAATAGAATATTCTTTTGTGTGAAGTGATATCTGCAAAGACACCGTATTTAAATCAATTTTATATTTTAGAGCATGGGATACACTTTATGTAAGATTATTCGTTTCAATATTGATTTCTTACAATATTTGCTGATAAATCTAGAAAAAATGATAATAATAGACAAGGGATTATGGACTCTATCGTACAAAATGCAGCCAACGATAAGTTTTTGAAAAAATTGGTAAGTAAGGAATAGTAATACTAATTACTTTAGAGACTCAGACTAGAACCAACGAGCATCTTGACCTAAGGGGGCCCGCTTACAACAAGAATAGTTGTAGAGAAAATAATTTAACACTATTCTTTTGCAATTTTCACAGTAGTCATGAAATTTAAACGAAATTTAAACCCTTTATATGAAATAAATGAAATTTAAACCCTTTTAATTACTTTAGGGGCTTCCATATCCCCGGCCAATATGGCTGCCTTGTTTAAAATATCCGTACTGGCCATCCAACGTTCATAAAGTCTCGTGATATAGGTTTCTCTACCTTTTTTTGCATTCTTACGCCGGTTTGTGGGGTTTCCCCACTGTGGATTTCCCTTGACTTGGCAGAAACGATAACAATTTGGGGGAAGCAAACACAAATTTTAGTATTTCAAAAATTCCTAACAGATCAAACAAGTTATTCTGAGTGTATAAAAACTGGTCATCTTTAATATCAGTCAAGATTGAGAAGTAGCATGATTCAACAGCAATTTACCACGATGGAGACGTAAATGCAATGGTATACAATACTGCTGGGGATCAATTACTGTTGAACCATGCAAACTCTTACTGTCAGCAGATTTCAAAGGTGACCATTTTTATGGTGCATCCCTTCATAATCATTGTGCACAGGATAATGCATCAATTTTAAGAGTTATTGAAAATAATTGCCGTGCCACAATATGGAAACAAACAGTAGTCCCATTCTGTAGAAATTTTTTGTGTCTTATTACACACATGTCTTATTACGCATGTGATTAATATAGTGGTAGCCTGTAAATTACTTTTTCGGACCAACAGGAGCCGTGAGCTAGGTGGCTAGCTGCAGCCAGTAATCTAATTAATTATACGGCAGATTACACAGTAAAATGAACCTACTGTCTGTTTCAATACTGTGGCCGAGTGGTGCAAAGTCATCAACTGATCTAATTAAAATTTCACAAAATCTTATTGTTTTCCGTTCTTTCCTATGAATATTTCAAAGTTTTTTGTTTTTTTGCAGATGTTATTGAATGTTTATTTATGTTTTATGCAGGACAAAATGTGTACATTTGATTAGTTTTGAGTAAATTATCAGCCAAATTGGTTAATGTTTACATCAATGGTGGGGTAAAGTCAATATTGAATAAAAGCGATCGTAAATTTGCGATGAAAAATGCTGTTAGGACTTTACTTAAACATGTAAAGAAAATTTTGTTGTGTTTCTATTTTTTTCTAACAATGAATACTTAAACACATTATAGACTGGCCTGCTATCTACTAATGACTGTAATGAAGACTGTCTAGAATATTCTGTAGAAGAAAAAACATTTGCACATTATTATCCTTTGTGAAGGATACATTATTTTCTTTGAGCACAACTTTCAGTCTCTAATGGTGATGGAAGCAAGAATAAAATCCGCTTTGAGCATAGTTGTGGATGTTTGGGAAGGCAAAAATGGAACATATTTTATTGATGAATTCAAGAACAAATTGGAGACACTACGCGAAAATTCGTCAGGAAATCTTCGCGAGGATTCGCCAAGGAATCTTCGGCACAGTTTTTTGCACTTTGAAGACGGAGTTGAAAAGCTAAAACATTTGGAAGGGTGTGCTGCAAAGCAACCATCGTCGTCAACATTGCTAACAACAATGTTATCTCAATCTAAACCGTTGTTTGAACTAGCTGGAGAGAGGGCGAAAAAAGCATTTGAGGATGCGTCTTTAAGCATCGAAGATAAGATAACAGCAAGCACGATTCGCATAGCAAGCGCTATTCTTCAACACTTGGATAACTGTGAGTCAGCGACAAGAGATTTGTTGCGATGCTTGAAAGAATTAAACTCATCGGTTGTCGCGGAAATAAAGGCCGAATCTCAAAATAACCCAGGAGACGAAATCTTTGACAGTGTAATACGTATCAACGTCAATTTGGCCGATTTCATATTTAAGCACACTAACAAGAGAATGTATGTTATGGAGTGGCCCTTGATTCAATATGGCAAGCAGTTGATTCATCCTTTCTATTTCAAAAACATCAAGGAAATTACTGCCACGTCACTACCTTGGTACACAACTGACCTTCGTAAGAATATTGATTTCTTTAACAAGAAAATGATCGTAAACAGAGAAGGGGAATTACTTGTTTTCGATGGAAATGAATTGCAAAAGCTTGACAGCAAGAGCGAAAAGTTTCAAACATGGTGTAAAGAAAGTCTGAATGTTGAAAATAGACAAGTAAAATGCATGAACGTTGATGAAAATGGCATGGTATATCTACTTTTGTATCGTAAAGACCATTCAAATGGCAATTATGTGTTGAAACTTTGTTTGGAAGACAGAATTGTTCAAAATTGTTCTTTGCATTTTCTTAATGATAAAAAATTTAGTAAGATTTTTCTAGCTGCCACGCCCAATGACAAAGTGATCCTTGCTACAGTTAAAAGTTCAAGACGCAAACGAAGTGAAATCAATATATATGTGTGTGACGGTAAAGGTAAACGTATTAAGTCTTTTGAACAAAAAGTTAAAGGTGGTTTTATCAAGTCTGTTGTACGAAAAGTTAAAGGTAAACCAGTTGATGATGAAGTGAAAAGTTTGTCCATTTCATCCTGTGGAAATATAGCAATTTTGACAAATGCATCAGGCCAATCTTACGAACTCATCATTTTTAAGTTGGATAACACTTTTGTTAAAAAGATGAAATTTCATTCACAGGTTAAAGGAATCAATGCATACACTCGAGTCATTTACACTCCCTTTGACAACACTATCAAAGGTTTTTATTTTAAAGAGGACAAATCACAGCTTGTTATTGAAACTTTTTCCATTGAAACCAACGAAATTAAAATAAAATGGTCTGTAATGCTGATGAATACAGGATATTTTTCAGAATTATTTGATGGTTTGTTTCGTCTTGTTCATCATGCAAATGGAAAGGTGGCTTTGCTTTCAAGTGAAAGGATAATTTACATAATCAAAGGGAGCAGTGAGCATTATGGCATGGAAGTGAGCTTGGAATGGAAAGGTATTTCTAAACTGAAGACAGATTTAGTCTCGAGTGTGAAGAAAGGTTTGAGTGATGGATATTTAAGGGGAAAAACCAAAACATTTTTTGTTATCTCGAAAAGATCACTCATTTGAAATAACTGACTGCTATACAACTGCCTAGGACTCATTTCTCTGATTGATTATGATTATCTCAGCAGCATTTGTATTTGCAATGCATCTTTGTCTTTTTAATTTCAGTCTCATTTTGAAATAAATATTTTTGGGATGAAAAAAATCCCAGTGTTCCCATTAGTTAATGTGGCACTGTACTAGGTCAGTCTTGATTTGTTTAATGTTTACGCCAGCTACTTGGTCCCAGGTCAGCTATAAACCTGTAAGTCGTATAAACATGGCTTTGAAGAGCCCGGTGACCAACATGTCATGTTCTCTCACAAAAGTTACTAAATATGTTTCGTTTCTCTTCTGTTTGATGTTAGTTTTCAACTCCACAAGACGGTTGTATTAAATAATTTCTCTATACTGTTTTAGATGTTCTAAATTTTTTATTAACGACAAATCTTCGTTAAAATATCGCAGCGACATTGCTGGCTGGGAGCTAGTTTGCCTCATGTAATCAGGTTAATTTTAAGATAGTCAACAAACCTTTCTGCGCAAGGTGTAGTAAGGGTCACCAGTATGTTTAGCAAATTTTGAAATCGTGAGGCATGTCGAAATGTTATATTTACAATGAAAGGGATATCAGCGACATTGAAAGTAATCACATATATTAGTAGCATTATAAATTGTTAACTATTACCTTGTTGTACATCTAGGACATCCCGATGCTACAGTAGTGAGTAATGTTCCCGAAGATAGTGATCTCTGGGAAATTGCTGAAAAGATATATCCTCAATGGCTGGAGCTTGCTAGAATGCTGGACATACCAGAAGAAAATTTGCAAAAGATATGCTCTGTAAATAATAAATTGCCATTGGAAATGCTTTTGAAGTGCAAAATAACAGAAAGAAAAAATGCCACCGCGAATATGTTAGTTAAAAATTTAAATGCCTTTGGCCATCGACAAGGTAGCATTATTTTTGTTGTCTAATTGTAAAGAAATTGAAAAGAAATGCAGAGAATGTTTTAATGACTTTTTTCTTTCGCTCAAAGAAAACTTTCAGTGCTAAATTTTCAGAAAAAATAATTGATCTGTTTATGAAGTTTGGAGCACTTATTTTCAATTTGTGAAGAGTATCTTAATAAACATAGCAAATATACATCTTATATATCGGTTGTGATAGTTTCTATTTTAAAGTATACGTTAGAATATGTGTCACTTCGCTTAAGGACTCTGCTCAACACCAACATTAGCATTTTGATGTAAGTATAATCAATTTTTAAACGGTGAGCTAGGAAAAGCTGTCAAATTTTTTCGCTTGCAGTAAGTTTCACCAATAATGAAACGAAGATCGTTCCGAAAATAAACAAATTTATAAAATAAAAAATCGAAAAAGTACTAATACGTATCTAATGTTTGACTCATAAACATTCTCATTTTATAACAAGTTGTTTTATGTTTATTTATACGATGCTCTTCTCCAAATATGATAAAACATTTTGGAACCTTGCTTTGGCTGCATACCCGTGAAAAGTTTGTTTGTCAATCAGCTGACTTTATATTCATCTCAATTTTAACGATAGAAAATTCTCTATGCATCGAAACCATACATTTACAGGCCAAAAATTACATAATAAAATCTGAAAACCATCGCCACTACGCAGAACTTTTTGGATTCGCTTTCTAATACAGTCATCACATTGATAAATTATATAGCTAAACAGTTTGCCATCTAAAATTAACTGCGAATAGAAATACGTCAAGGATACTTGCTTTTTGAAATATGTTTCTCAAATTATTATAACTCACTTGGTTTATTATATATATACATTGGTTTATCAAAAACGCGCAAGCATGAATACAAATGTAAAACAGAATCATTCCGTATTATACCACAATACTTATATTTTTGATTATTAATGGCTAATATTGTTGATCAATTCTTTATACAGCTTTTACGCTCACTTAAAATGTATAAAAAACATATTCTACAAGTCGTACAACTAGGACACGCCACATTGAAAGTCCTGTGTACAAAACTATTTCCATTATTTATAAGACCTAATTACAACTTCAGCGAGTTTTTCTTTTTGGACCGAGACAAGTTATTTACTGGATATTGTTGATATTACAAAAAGCTGGCACGATATTCAGATTGTAACAGTAATTGTTCAATAAATTGGTTAAATTAAAGGAATCTTAAAACTTTAACATTTGTATCCGTATATTTTATTGATAAATATTAAACATTGTGATTTGAACTTTAAACTAAGCATTCATGACATGATGTCAGATAAATGATTGATAAATGATTGCTAATTTTAATTAACGTTGTTCATTCAAGAAGTGTTTTTTTTACTATGAATTGAATTTTTCCCGTCTTATTTTAGACGAATGCGAAAGAACTCATCAGGGATTCCCACGCCAGCTGGAAGGTAATATGTAGGGATATTTATTATCAAAGTTTTTTTGTTTAGTTTTAATATGAAACAAAATAATCTACTTTGTATAATAATTTATAACTAATTTCTAATTTGCGATAATATATGGTTTGATCAATGTATTATAAATTAATTGTGGGCCACCTCTTTCCTTGTCAAAGTAAATATATATGGAGTCTTCTTTTTTAAGAAACCCTTGCTAATTCAGTGGATTAATTAGATGAATTGTAAGATACACGTAAATTGAAAGCTCATGTAGACAGTTTTAAGAAGCAATAAAAGTTACAGGTTCCATTGGGAAATTTATCTATTGTAGACAAAGATAAGATCACTATAGAGTGAACACTTCATGTTTTTGTCTATGTGCATGTTGTGCCGCGCATATCATTCTTGATTTCATTACTCAGAAATGACATCATGTCACTTAAATGGTTAAAAACAACCTTTTACCAGATGGAATAATATGGCGCACGTGAGAACTCGTTGCACACCTCAGTGATCCTTCTGTATATTTATCATTTTGTGCCATTATAAGGACTCGGAAAAATGTCTTCTTGAAATTTTTCTGAAAATAAGAAATAATATCAAAAACATTATTTCAGTAATATTATTTTTCTCCCTCACTCAAGGTGTATAAAGGATAAACATTGTAATTGTTAGGTTTCATGATCAATTATTCGGTTGAATCATGGGCATTAAGTTTAGAATTTATGATTTATATTGCAATAGTAAAAAGCATGTAATTTTTTCTATTTCATAGATAAAAATAAAAATACAAATATGGACAGCCAAACACATACAACAGGTATAGTCTTTTCTAAACTTGTCAAAACTGTGCTGAACGGAAATTTTTTTGTATTCACCTGGGGTTAAGCAAATTTTGATAATGGTTGTCTCAAATCATTCCAACTTAATTTTTCATAATAAAGTGCTTTTCAACCCAACATTCAGACAACAGCTAGTGTAAAAATCCAGTTAGTTTATTTTCTTCTTCATAAAATAATGAGTGGCGACTAATTTGAATGAGTTACAAGTACACAGTAGAGCATTTTGATCTAATCTTATTGAAAATATGCTACTTTCACTGTTGCAAACATGCAAAAGTTTCGGCACACTGCTGCAAAAAAAAGGTCGGCAATTTGGAACGCTTTGCTCCATCGTCTCCTGGAGTGAATTTCTGCCCCTACAGCTCTGTTATTCATAGTGAAATTTACGTAATTACAATTTTCAATGACAATTTTACGTTCATTAATATAATGATTTATGAAAATCTATTACTGCTATGGAGAGCGCATTGTGGGTTTTGTGTGACAGAAAAATGAATTTTGGAAAAATCACTAGCCATTGGTAAAGTCAAAATATAACTCAGATAACACAAGATTTAAAGCATTCCATGCTTAAAGCCCTCAGCCCTCAAATTTTGTCATGCTATGCATATATGTTCACTCACTGCAAGAACAAAAATTTCTAAAGAAAAAACTAATACTAAAGATGTACAATTTACTTACGTATAGCAGGATAAAAATTATGGGGGCTGCTATGTCATTGATTCAAAGGCAAACGCTGAAAGTAGAACTCGTGCGAAAAAAAAGTCTCGAACATTTTCTTTCAGTTAAAGTTACTGTGGTTTTTTTTGTTTGCAACTTTCTCAACATTTTGCTTCCAAAAAATTTTCTATCTTAAGACCGTTTTAGACAATATTCCATATTCTTCTAGAACCTGAAAATGTGACGGACACCAATGAAGTTTTTAAAGAAAAGTTCCTCAACGACGATTACAACATTCGAGATGAAATTGTCAATACCCTCCAAAGGTAAAATTTTTATATTTTGTTATCTTCCATAACTAAGAAAAAATGATGAAGTTTCATTCATAGCAACTTTTGCGAGGTGGAGATTTAGTTCTTCATATTGTTTAGGCATTTGATCTTAACAAACAATTAGCTCACAATTATTGGATGAGGTTGAGCATGATATCAAGAATTATTCAAACAGAGGTCAAAATTACCTACCAAAGCAAAGCTCAGGCGGAAAGCATTGACCAAGGTCTGAATATTTCATTATATCATGCAAAAATCGAATTCAATAGTTGTTTTTTTATACAATAATGAATATGGAAGCTTTCATAAAGTTTTCTGTGCTTTGGCAATAGTTTTTTCTGTTCCATTTTGTCTTTTTCTGTAAGCACTCGATGGCAACTTTCCTGACTGACAATGTAACACACCCCGTGTATTTTTACGAATTTATTTTCAATAGTTCAAGCGAAAACAGTTTGTAAACTCCTGAAAATCTTAAGCGAGATTCTGTCACGTTTGTTTACAATTTTCTCATGAACCATTATGTCATCTACAGAAAAATTATTCAATCACATTTAACATACACAGCACCAACACAACCGTGTTTAAGAATTATTTTTGAAAGATGAAGAATTATTAGGCTAGTTAATGTTTATCGTTGGTTTCTATAAAAAGTTTTTTCCCTTTTGAAAGGTCTATGTTAAATTTAGATTTATCAATAAAGAATACAGATCACACTCTTCATTACAAGTAATGAGTGGTTTTTACGTATCCTCTCCGTGCTGGTGTTAACTACCGTTATGCTGGCAAAAACAACGCCATTTTATGAATAAAACATCTAAAAAAACTCACACATTTACGTCATACAAGAGCAACAACGACAAATCATGTTAGGACTCTAAAACGTTTCTTTCTCTTCAAAATTTTTAGAAAGAGCGACAACATAATATGTAACACGGACAAATAATCAGCTTCTCTTTCTTATATTTATTCATTTTGCCTTATTTAGTTTCGTGCGGATTAACGGAGCTGTTAGAATATCTGTTCCAAACCAAGAGATACCTTATGAACATTTATTTATTACAGTTGATAAACAGGAAAAAATGTTGGAAGACAATATAAAAAAAAGGATTGATTCTAAATTTGGATGGAAAGCTTCAAGATTCATCGAATTACGAAGTTCAGCATCGAAACCATTAAAGTTAACATATTATGGTCATCTTTGTTTATTAAATACGTTTCGAGATATTAGCTGTGAGCTAACAATGCTCAGTAGTAAAGATAAAAACTATTTCGCTTTGACCTGTGCACATATTGGTTGTGTCAGTCACCGAGTGGAAGATCAGGAAAGCGATGTTTCGAAAATAATTGATACTGTTGATGCCAGAAATAACAATAATTGTAACAAATATTTCTGCCAACCGCCCAATTGGGAAGAGGAGAAACAACTGGGTACCTTTCCCTGCAATACGGTTAGTGTGTTTAATGATGAGACCGATTTTATGTCTATTCCAGTTGGAAAGAAAGAAGATTTTCAGCGTCTCGGTGGAGATGATATGGAGAATCTTGCGTTAAGATTAAAAGAAATGAACAAAGAGCTTTATGAAAGATTACGAAATGGCCAGGGTTTTGTCGAAGTTCGTACAAGTAATCACACCAAGGGCTTCATAAGTGAACGGAGTTATTCATATTTTGGTAAAACTTCGAAGGAACCGATTTTCAAAAATGCTGTTAAAGTGAAAAGTGATGGCTCTTTTCTCAAGGAAGGTGACTCGGGAAGTCTTGTTTATTTAAAGGATCGAGAAAATGTTTGGCAGCCATTTGCTTATGCCGTGTGCGAAATAAATGATGACGAAGACGATGACGATCATGATGACGATGATAGTGATGATTATGATGATGATGATGATGATGATGATGATATCATAGGCTGCAAGAGAACCTATATATGCTTAAAATTGTATAAAGCATTGGAGATATTTGATCTAAGAGATGGGAAGTTCTTTATAGAACCCAAAAATAGCAACTGTGGCTTTCCGTCTGAAAAAAGTAATTTATAATATGCAAACATTTATAATGTTTCATGCTTCCATAATCCTTAATATCGAACGTCATATAGCAAAAAATGTTTGAATTTTTTATAACTTAATAGATATAATCGGTGGAAGGTGCGTTACTGAGGGAGGGTAATCACTTGAAATCAATTGAAAGCAAGCAATTTCCACGAAAATACGTTTTAGATGTATGCTGAAATTTTAATGGCAATCACTTATATCAGTATTTTGCAAAAGCCATAATTCCTTAAGATAGTTTACAATAAGTAAATTTACTTATTTGGCAAAGTATGCATGAAATGAGAACTAGATTCAAGAACACTTGTACACTTTGACTAAATGTGAAAGAAAAAATTTTCATAAATGCTTTGTAGAGCGAAACTGTTGCAATTTTTTTGGCTAAGACCCAATATGCAAGACTTGTTTCTTTTTGGTAGATAAATTGTCCGCACTAATCTATTTTTATCACTTTTTAGATAGTTTACCTGGTGAATTAACAGATGAAGAAAATTGTTATGAACATCATGCCACTCGACAATTACAAACTGATTCTGAACTGGAATCATTTCGTTCAAATGTTCAGGCATTTCAAATGCTGTTGCATTGGAAAAAGGAAAAAGGAAAAGATGCTACTATAAAAAAATTGGCAGACGCCTTAATCAGTATAGGTCGTTTGGATCTTTTAGAGAAATTTTTACAAGGTATTGCCTTTTTGATGAAATACTCAAGCGTTATAAATGAATACTGTCGTCATTGACATAAATATGAGTACACAGCAATATTTTCTCTTCAACCCTTATTCGGCTGTAATTTGTATAATTTGTATTATTATCTGCAGAGAAAAACTGCTTAATACCAAAGCGAAAACCATTATTAGCGCTTTTTATAAATTTTATTATGTCCTAAAATTTTCACTGCAATATCACAGAATAATAACTATACAGAAGGCTCACTCAAGTGTGCTCTGCGTCCTTACATCCGCCATCATTCCAGCAAAATATTTAAGGTTTTCATTTGCCAATTACATGACGTCATTTCGTCGCAATGAAATGGAAAATATTTCAATATAAGAAATGACGTCGTGTCTTTTTAGTCGTTGAAAACAAGTGAAAAGCTCTAAATATCTTGCTGGAATAATGGCTGCAATTCGTATAAATGAGTGCATTACTTATAACGCTAGAGCATATCTTAATAATTTAGTTTTCGGTGGTTGTTTATCCTGGTTGTATTTTGTATTGAAACGACATTCAAAAATCAGGAGGCAGCGAGTAATAAATATAATTTTTCAAGTGGACGTTTTTCATCCAAAATTTTTTTTTTGCATCCATGTTTTTGACAACAGTTCCCAGGCCCTGTTGTACATCCATTAGTTTGTAACACAGTTTCACGAAAAATTTTTAAAGTTAGAAAAAAAATTTCCGTTTCTAGTTGATAAAGAATCTAACCAAACCACGGAGAAAAATGATTTGAATGATTTTGACAAAGAAAAGAAAAATGAGGAAAACGTCGCAGATAATATCGTCAAAGAGGAAAACGTAAACACCTCAAAAGATAGGATTGATCATGTAAAGGGTACGTTTTCATTTGTTATGAACGAGAAAATATAGGAAAATTTATCGCGTTTAAAAACATAGCAGATTGCTTTTCGTGCTGGATTGCATCATACACCTGGCCCAAAGTCGCTTGTGCAAGGGAGGTGTGAGTGTTGCATCTTTGTATCCCAATATTTCACTTGTTCGAAAAAGTGAACATATTTTATTAATAATAGCCACAGAACCGTCAAGAAAAGAATGAAAAGACGATGAAGTGAATAAACATGATGTCAAAGAGCAATTTATAACTAAGCTTTGCTATAAGTTTCACATTCTACTGACGTAAAATTGCCAACGTCTCACGTCAAATCGGTAAAAACACGGGAAAGACCTCGCCTTAAAAGGATTATTTAAACATGGTTACAATTTTGTGTCTACCTTGGCCGAGTGAATGAAAAGTGCTTGTAAAATTTGAAAAGAACGATAATTTTCATTCTTTATATGAACATAAACTGCTTGAGTTGAAGTAAAAGACAACAAAACTCTTGTTCCTTAAATTCCATTTTTGTTATTGATGATAATTACTGTAAACAACATTGGCTGAATTTTGAAGGTGGTCTATCAAGGTGCACCAGATAATCTAATTGCTGCTTGTGCTGGAAATAATCCCAATTGCATCAAGCTGGATTATAAAAAATTTCAAAAAATGTTTATAGGTCAAGAAAATCGGAAGAACGTTCTTTTGGAAAAAGAAAAGGACATTGATGGTAAGTCTAATTACTGCTTTAGCAACTTTTTACGACTAAATTAATTAATAGAACTGCAACTTTTATGTACCCCGAAATACGTAAAAGAAATATTATATTTCACGGATGCATCAAAGCAAGGCTGCATATGCATGGGTCTGTTCGATGCCAACAACAAACCAAATGAAAATACTATAAAGAAACGTTTTCATATCGATTTTCTTGAACTGAAATGGGCCTTTTTAGCCATTCAATCTCTTTTGACAAACAAGCTCCTCATTAACTGTGTTCCTGAACGTGTGCAACACTACATCGGTTCATACATGAATCTTATAAGAAGGGCACATTCTCTTTAACTCATTCAACTTGCTCAGGATCATTTAACTTGGTGCATCAAGTAAGACATATTCGTGATAGTATTTTAGGCAAGTGAAACAGCTGCCCAGATTATGACTTCCTTGAGTTCTTTCTGTTCGGGTAGCAACGCCTAGATGTTAGATCAAACATCATTAATCCCTTGTTTGCTCAATGTAAAACCGATTTCTTCATCTTGAGATCAACTCACTAACTCCTAACTTTCATAAGCTGGAGACCAGACCCGATTGCTTACCTCTCAGATGAATTCACCGTAAGATGAAAGGGTCTGCATGACACTAAGACTGATGCTTATATAATTCGACCAGAGGTTATGAAATATATTATACAAACGCTGTTTTTCATGTCAGTATTATTGAGTAAACAAAGAGAGAAATATAAGTCGCATCCAGTCATTATCTTTCAAGGGACATACCCTACCAATTGCCAAACGACAGGAAGAGGTCATTATGCCACAGTTTTTTGCTTTGGGCTCCACAGACAAACGTCTCTGCATTTCGGCTAAGTTTATCCGAGAGCCGCAAGGATTGTTAAAGTTATTTCTGTAAATGGCGTTTCTTTTCAGTCGACAACCATTTTCAAGAGCTGATTCAGTAGTAAACACTTCGAGGGAGACGCTTTTTATTCTAACATGCAGGATATTTTGAAGTTGGTGTCAATTCGCGATGTACCTTAGCTGTTTTTCTCTCAATTTTGTGCAGAAACACTACGTTTTGGAAAAATAATAGTTCCCATGAAACAGATATCCCAAATATCGTCGGAGCATAAAGTCGAAGCAGATATCCAAAATATCGTCAGAGAATTTGACTGCAAATAATGTCATTCAAATGATATTGCACAAGCGTTTTCTTATTTAAAAAAACTTAGATAACGGTAAAATTTAGAAAAATTTTGATTTCCCAGAAAATGGCTTTTATCGGAAATGGCTTTTGTTTTTGCTGCATCCTTGGGAAATGCTAGTAACATAAAATCATGGCAGATGTCTTTTCTTGCAATTTTTCGTAGTTGGTATATGATTTTGTGCTATCCAAGACAGCTTCTGTGAGCTATGCGATTTGTAACAATAGTTGTTCCTGCATTTTATACAATCGGTGCCTTAACATGATAAACAACTTCAGTGGTTCCAAGGGATTGCTTCAATCACTGCATGATTGTCATTGGCATAGATATGCTCCAGCTGTTGTTCCTGCAGTATATACAATCATAGCCTCAACACGATAAACAACTTCAGTGGTTCCAAGGGATTGCTTCAATCACTGCATGATTGTCATTGACATGGATATGCTTGAGCTGTTGTAGAGCTAATTGCATTGTGACTTAACTCATGTTCTCCACCGTTTAACCATCAGAAAAAACGAAAATTACATTCTGTTTTTCGTATATTTTTCTAAACAGACTAAGACTTTGTTTTTGTTATCGCCCAACTGATTACCTCTTTTTGCTATACAGAGAGACGTACAGTAAAGAAAGATTAAGACGTTTATCCTAATTATTTACCAAACAGTGACCAAATAGAAAACTTTGTACAAAAGAAAATTACAGCTATACTGTTCTTCCTAATCGTTTTTCTAGAGTAGGACCAACCATTTTTTGCTTGCTACGTTACTGTCAAAGCTGATAATTACATGTTTGTAAATGTAGATCGTCCAGGTTGGTATAGTCTTGAGAAGGACTGTTTTTATTGTTGTTGACTGACGTTTCGACCACCTTAGAGGTAGTCATCTCAAAGTCAAATGAGGAGTAAAAGTCAGGTCAGTAAAAGTCATAAAAGTCATTGTATTGTGTGTACAGGAAATTTGTACGTCAGTACTGTAAGTAATGCATTTTGCCGAGTCCCAGTCAATGTTGTGCTTTGTGATTCGGTGATGTTCGGCATTGTGATTAGTTTAGTCTTGTTTCTTAGTAACTCGTTTGTGTTCAGTAAGTCTTATGTTTAAGTTCCTGCCAGGTTTCCCGATGTAGGAGGCGTGGCAGTTTGAGCGGTTTGAGCAGAAACGAATGAGCCCATTGCTGTTCCACGTAGTTGTTTGTATTGATTACTTTTGTACTGGAAGTAAGTCGAGGTGAGGCAGAGCTCCAGTAGTTCCATAATGGCTACTGTCGGTAATGGAAGTATGTCCATGGTGTTTGTAATGAAAGTTTTTGTACAAGTAAGTGCCAAATTAAGTGGAATACTGGTGAACAGTGATTTCACATCAAAAGACACTAGTATATAGTTGTCCGGTATTTGCATAGTGCTCAGTTTTTTAAAGAAAGGTTCAGTGGATTGTAGCTTGTGTTTTGATATGCTTGTAAGTGGTTGCATTATGTTCGTCAAGTACTTTGATAGTTCGTAAGTAGACGAACCACAGAATGATACAATTAGTCGCATGGGTATTTGTGGTTTGTGAAGTTTTGGTAGTCCGTATAGTCTGGGTGGTCGTGGTACTGAACATCTACGTCGATAGTAAATACGTTCAGATATAATGTTAGATTTTATCATAGAGAAGATTTTGCTGTTAAATTTGCGTACTAATGATGGTGTTTGGTCTCGTTTGAGTTGTTCGTACGTTTGTCTGTCGTTAACAAGGGTGTCCAATTGTTCGCAGTAATCATACCTGTCCATGACATGTCCAATCCCTCTGAACAGTTCACAGCAATTACCGGTACCTTACAAACGACTTATTCACAATACAAGCAGACGATCAACTAAAAACATTACACTTCACACTAATTCACTATGAAAATACACAATTGACACCCACACATTACAACTAAAAACATCACACCTAAATCACACATCACAACTAAAAACATTTCACTTCACACTAATTCACAATGAAAATACACAATTGACACCCACACATTTCATGTACACACTATACAATGACGTAAGAACCAGATAACAAATACGGCTAACCAGACGTTTACTCCTCATTTGACTCTGAAGATGACTACCGAATTCCATTTCGTGCCAGAGTGTCTTGTTTTATAACCGGCATGAAAACTGGCCTTTTTAAACTATTTGCAAAGCCAATGCAAGTGGATTGTGAAAGGGAGATATGGGTACTTCATTAACACTTCACATTAATTTACTTGGAAAATTTTTGTTAATAACAACAACAATTTTCAAAAAAGACAAGATAAAAAGATAAAAAAAAAACAAGGAAAGAAATAAAAATGATAGAATTGTCTAGAACAATTGTTGATCAAGGCTTGAATATAGCCATAATAGTTTAATTTTCGATTTACGCTTAATCATCAGTATTATACCGAAACCAGTAAAAACATGGAAAGATTCCCCCTAAATAGCATCTTGTAACCCTGGTCACAATTTCGTACTTTCTCTGAGTAAATTAAACGTGTTTGTAAAATTTGAAACCAATGACGTCTCTTATCTATATGAACATAAGCAGCTTAAAGCTAAAATGAAAGAGAAACGTTTGTGTCTTAAATGGAATTGTATTTTTGATGAAGATTACCGCAAACTACAATAGCTAACATTTGAGAGTAGCATATCAGTGCGCACTAAATTTGTTTGTACCTGCGGCTGCAAATATCTATCGCATTAAGCTGGATTGGAAAACTTTGCAAAAAAAATTTGTGGGCCACAATAATTTGTTTATCCCAAGTTCATGTGTTTATCTTAGATTGATCAATCTATTATTTTAATGGTTTGGGTCCTTGAAACAGTGTCAAACTGTGGCATAAAGTTTTGCTTTCTTGCGCAATATACAGTATCGCCTTGCTTTGAGATTTTGAAAATTTTTGGTTGATTTTTAACACACAAAATCACAGGTAAAATTACTGGTAAAATTAATCTTAGTCGTTATTTGTAAGGCGTGTGCTGTGTAGTACACAAACTATAAATATAACAGCTAAATTTTTGGAGGTCATTCTTTATGTATTTCTTCAATTAGGCCCAAAAGAATTTCGTCAGGATTTCGAATTGGGCGTAACTTCCAATAAAACAGAAAAGACTTCTCATAAAACAAAACAAAAGGCAATATCTGAACTATGCGAACGTTTAGGTCTTAAAACAAAACTTACATCAAAACATGCACGTTCTGTTGGAACGTTTAATGACGACAAACTGACTTCTCCTGACCAAATTCCCAATTATATTCTTAAAATGTTAATGATGGCTAATCACCAAGCACTTGAATTTAAACTGGAACCATTAAAAAAAAGTAAAGTTATTTTAAAATCAAATGATGGTACTCATGTAAGTGATAGCGATGATGAGGATATAGATGAGATTGAATCAGATAAAGTCAAAAGTAAGAGTTTGGAAGATGAAGATGATTCCGAATATAGTGACAGTGATAAAGAAAGTAAAGTTGTGAAAGGAGTTAACCCTATGGATGCTTTATTAGGGATTTTCTATTGTTCTGATAATTTCTTACGACAAATTCTAGCTGTAAAACTTAGTGCATGTCAGCTCAGCGTTCCCTTTATTTTACCTGATCCTGATGATCCAGTGGAGAAGCAAACTATCTTGCTTTTAGCGTTGGGAAAAATAATAAAGTCTTGGAGAGGTGCCTCAATCAAAGACTCCGCAAAAGAGGTGTACGCAACAGAACATCCCTTTCCCATAGTTTCATTTATCCGGGTGGGTAATGTGACCATGTCTAAGTCATCTCTGATGAACAAGATTATCAGCGACGCTAATGGTGTTCATGAATTCTTCTTTCATAAAAACATTAAAGGTGGTGATGTTAAAAGGAAAATCGTAGATGGTTTGGTTGAACTTGTGTGGTATCTTCCAGGTAGGTGTGAGAAGAATACCTTAAGAACTGAAATCTGTTTTGCCAATCTACGCGGGGATGCTCAAAGTTTCAAGAAACAAGTTAATATAATTCGAGAAATATCAAACATTTTGTGTATTTTATTGCCCTCTGAAATACCTGACGAACAAGCGAGGAATTTTTTGGAAGAAGCTATATTATCCAAAGGTAAAACACTGCTGATTTTTAACGAAAAAAGGCAAGAAGAAGTGAACAAGTACTACAAAGATTTAAAGAAGTATCATGGTACAAAATTATCTTTCTTTACAAAAGCACTTAAGCCAAACAAATATGAATTTTTCGAAAGTATTCGCCAGGTCATACAGAAAAATACAAAAGATGCTGAAGAAAGTAAACTGAAATCTTTAGAAAATCTCAAATGCCACTCAAAGGAAAGTGGTGTTTATATTGATGAGGACCCAGCTTCTATCATATTGGAAGAAACTGTGGAAACGTGGCTTTTTGATGGGATTCAAGAAGCAAAAAAGCTGTTTAAGCTACAAGGTCATGTACCAATTTTAGCAGATTTAGAAAAAAAGATACATAATCCAAAATTTCGTCCCACTATCAAACAAGAAGAAGTTGTCAATGAATTATACAAAGAACTGGAAAATGTAAAAAAGGCTCAGATCGAATCTTTCAATAGTATGAACAAAGGTGTTATTAAATTCCTTAATTCCATACCTGTAATGAATGAACAGGAACTGAATAGAAATTTGCATCATTTGAAGTATTTATTAGACAAAGCTTCTCTACTTGTGATGACAGATTTACATCAAAAATATCGTCGGGCATTACTTTCTGTTAAAGAACCTACCAAAAATACGCACAATGATAATCAAGATTCACAAACCGAGGGAGAAAAGAATTTAAATAAACTGGAAGAATTGATATTAAAGTCCTCATTTGGTTTGGAGCATATCATTAGAGAGGTTGCCCAACTTTATCAGCTTCCTGATATTGCAGTAAATGATTATGCAGGTGCTGCAGCAAAAATTCTTCTTTCCGGGGAGCCTTTGGAATTGCTGGATGGTGATTCAGGTTACATACCAATGAAATGGTTTAATGCTGTCTATGAAGAATTAGAAAATCAAACAAATAACGCTAGCATTTACGTCATTTCTGTGTTAGGTATTCAAAGTTCGGGTAAATCGACAATGTTAAATACAATGTTTGGTTTAGAGTTTCCTGTAAGTGCAGGAAGATGTACTCGTGGTTCTTTTGCTTGTCTTGTTCCACTTAGTGATAAACTTAAATGTGACACAAATTTTGATTATGTGTTGACCATCGATACTGAAGGTCTGAAAGGAATGGCTGACCCAGAAGTGAGAGAACACGATAATGAATTGGCAACTTTTGCTGTTGGTGTTGCTGATGTCACGATTGTCAATATCTTTGGTGTAAACTATAATGAAATGAAAGAGTTTTTAGCGATGGCTGTTCATGCTTTCTTGAAAATGAAACTTGTGAAAGACAAGAAATCATGCAAGATCGTCCATCAAAATGTTGCTGCTGATGACGCTGCAGATAAGTTAATGATGGATAGGCGAAATCTAAAACAAAATCTAAACCATATGGCAAGGCTTGCAGCAATACAAGAAAATTGTGAAGATCAGTTTCAAAAATTAGATGACATAATGGCATTTGATGAAAATAAAGACGTATTTTACATACCAAGTCTATTGAAAGGAAGTCCTCCCATGGCTCCGATAAACCCAAATTATGGTAGAGACTTGCAAGAAGTAAAGGAGAATATTATTCAACTTATGTGCTCAAAAGAAGTGGTCAAGCTAACTGTTTCTTCATTCCGTGAACGAGTTAAAGGTCTATGGCAAGCCATGCTAAAGGAAGACTTCATTTTTAGTTTCCGAAATGTGATCGAAATCAGAGCTTATGCATCGTTAGACAAAAAAATGTTCAAAGAATCAGTAATACTAATGGTAAATGGAATGGCTGAAATTGAGAGAAGTATTGAAAGAGACTTGAAAATATGCACTACACGAGAAGAAAGAGAGAGATGTTGGATGAGCAGTAAAAAACGTATAATTGCAGAGGCAGAAGAACTCAAGACGAAAATGGAGAAAGAAATGCGGACGTTTTTTGAAAGTAGTGAAGATAGATCAACACTTGAACAATGGAAAGAAGACGTGATGGATAAAATTAAAAGATACAAACGAAATCAGGAAGCGTCTGTTATAGAAAATTGTGAGGCAACCTTCCACCATCTGCAGCAAAAACAAGATGTTGAAGAAATGAAAAAAAATTATGAAAAACAACTTGTGGACAGAGCAAAAAATTTAGTGCCATCTCAAAAAACAAATGACGAAGAAGAATGTAAAGCAGCATTTCAAAAAGAATGGAAAGAATGGATTGGCGAAGTTCCCCTTTGTGAGGAAGTAAAGCGTGATGTCAATGAATATATGCTTAATATTCTTCTAGCAGAAAATTCTGATCTTAATGCTGACATGATCACGAAACTAAAGCCAAAAGAGTATAGAATTTCTGCTTTTTTTAATGCTGATCCTGTCATTGATAGAAATGTGCTTTCATTTAATGGAGGGAGGGGTTTGAAAGTGGTCCAAAACGTGTATAATTGGTTCATACACGATGATGTGTCAAGGGCAAGTAATATCAAAAATAAAGTTATCTCTCAAGGAAAGCAAATTGTAGAGAGAGTTTCCAACATTGCTGTTAGATTTACTGAAAATGATCTTATAACAATGTATGATGAAATCATTTCTACCATTGATAAAGAAACAGAGAAACAAAACGTGAAGTTTAAAAAACCATTAGTATGTGACATACTGTTATACACATTTGCCCGTGCCTTTCCTATTTTTGATAAAATGGAAGAGCGTTATGTTGAAGAGCGTGATACTCGACGGAATCTTGAAAGTACTTTAAGACCAAGGCTTGAAAAGTATTTTATCAACCTTTGCAAAGAGATGGAGAAAGAAGTTTTGGCGGCCACGTCATTGGTTGATGTGCTTCGTGAGCCTATAATGTCAGAACTTAACAAAGGCATTGTAAAAGCAGTTGTTACTAAGCTTTCCACGAAAAGCATGTTTCTAAGCAAGGCTCACTTTCATGCCAGTGTTTTGATTCAACTTGGAGAAAACCCTAGTTTTGAATTGTTTATTCCTTATTTGAAGAATCCTGTTCAATTTTTGAAAAATAAATTAAAGGAATACGTCGAAGACTTTTGCTTGAACAAAGAATCGAAACTGGTACGATATCTGTTAAAAGTTGAAGGAGAGAAGCTGAAGTCAGATATATTTTCTGCCATTGAAGTGGCAAATAAGCAAGCTAGACATGAAATCGAACAAGGAAATGAGATTTGGAAAGTAAGGAATTGGATTAAAAAGTTTGTGGAACAGTGTTCTTCTCTTGCCATCACGAAAGAAATGTTTGCTGTCGCTACATTGGATGAAGATTTAAAAGAAACTGATATATTTGACGAAAAAATTCGTGAGTTGGTCGAAAACTTTGTACAATCCCTTACTGATGCTGAACTGAATAGTAAAACTATAAGTAATTGGCAGCCAGCACCCCACGAAATGCTTTCAAAATTATTGCTTGGGTGTCAGGCTGTTTGTCCATTTTGTAAAGCTTTGTGTGATCAGACTATGGAGCAGTCAAATCTTTCCGACGATGGTGAACACGTGACAGAAATACACCAGCAATACTCGACAAAATTACACCGTCCTCTGGGTTTGGCAGGTCATTACAATTCCGAAACCAAGATATTGATTTCCGATATTTGTACATTTCTTGTAGCTGGAGATGGAACATTTCAAAACATTGACACAAATTGGAAACCACATCCCTACAAAGATTATCAGTCAGTAAACGATTACTACAAATCGTGGAAAATTCCTCCAGATCTCTCTTTTGAAGCGTCTAGGTATTGGCAATGGTTCATGGTAAAGTTCTCGAAACAACTGGCGAAACATTATGAAGCAAAGGAAGCAAAAATACCTTCGAGTTGGAAAAGTGTGGCCTTCAGTGAGGCCGTAAAACAACTGAAGGAGGAATACGACTTATAAAAATCTTCATCAAAAACATCGTCTGAAGTCGATTTTTAATCAATGCTCTTTTTGTACCTCGTTTTTGTTGAAATATAATTTGATCAGTACCGGAATCATTTGATGTTTTTTTTGTTAAATAAATGTTTAAAGAAGTATACTAAAACTGTTGTGATTAAATTTTTGTATTGTTACACCTACCAATGCGTTCATGAAATATGGCGATCAATTTGTTTAGAACACTACATATAATTTAGCAACCTTAACTATGTAATCTGTACTTATTAAAATACATCCAGTTAAATATTCATTTCGTGACTATATAAACTACAAGTAATTTACCTTCCAAAACATTAAATAAATAATGTAACGATAAATAACAATTTTAAATACAATTTAATTTGTTGTGCTTGGTCTTAGCTATAATTGTTAGAAAGACAAACAGAATAACATATTCACTATGACGAAAACTAATCACATTGACAACATAAAAAAACAACAAACGGCAATGGTGAGAGTCAAAATAGACTTTACATCTTATTTATGATAAATAACCTGTGGCTTTCAACATTACGTGCAAAGACCCTTTTCTTTATGGAGGTCGTGGTGACAAAGCAATATTATACTGACTTATTGGTGAAAGGAGAACATTGTTATGATTGAAATCGATAAAATGTTTTGTTGCTAAACTTTCATTTGGAATTTTGTCGTGATATATGTTTCTCTCACAAAAAGTGCTGTGGCTTGTTCAACAAATTCTTTTGTCGCTAAAATATTCCTTTAATAACATGACCCATAATTTAATCTTATAGACTTCAATTAATTGCTTCAATTTAATTAGAAAAGCAGCAAAGTAGTCCTTCTTAACGTTATTTGTTGCACATAATTTTTATTTTAAAGTCTTGTAACTAAGCATAATTCTCTAGATTGTAATTTCGTATGATGTATGTTGTGTACGAGTCTTAATAACGTATGAGACCGTCAATTATTAATTGTAACTATATTTAATTTTTCTGATGATACTTCTATATATCAATTATCGTTTACTTTTCTTAAACATGTAAAAATTTATATAAAATGTAAGCATGTTATTATCTACACGAATACGTGTTATTGCATAACCGGTATTTTCGTTGCAAAATGTCGTAATATGAAACAATACAACCACAATACCTGTACAACATTTGAATCATATTCATATTTTTCATGTGTAACTCACGGGAAAATGATCCACCATGTCGGTTGATAACAATAAAATATTACGATTTTTTTTTGTTGAGACACCTGTATGGCTGATATAAAAACCACAAAAAGATAATATCACTTATTGACTGATTAAGGGCCCATTCACACTTAATTCATTTGCTAATCGAATTAGTTGATTCGAATTCGATTCTTTTTAAATGAAAAAACGTGAGTGTTCACATTTAAAGTTTTGTCCGCGTTATTTTTCGCTTGATAGCATAGTATTATAAGAAACTCAAAAGGATGGATATGGATTAGCAGGTATTTTAGTCTAATTATAGGGTATTGTGGGTACATACTTTAGAATCTATAGTTTAAGTAAAATTAATGTTTACATTTGCTTCACATGATTGACATTAAATTTTGGCGCCTTTCTCAGACCATCTTTGAATATTTGATTATAACAATATTTAACGAATAGAAATGGCGGAGATTACTGCAATGGGCATACTTTTATGAGAATACAAAAAGAACGCAAAAAACAGCCAAAAACTTTAGTTTAGTTACTAAGCTAAAAACATGTGATTGATCAAGATTGATCTGATTCTATTCGTGTTGCATGTTCACATTATCATGCAGATTAAACAAATCCGATTCGAGACCACCTTCTCAAGTGACCCAAGTTAGTTCGGATCGAATTCGTTTTCACATCACTTGCAAATGTTCACATTAACCCACATAAACGGACTCGAATCGATTTCGAGTCGATTTAAAATGTTAGTGTGAATGGGCCCTAAATCAAAGGAAACAACGTGTTTTGATTGGATTTTTCTTAGTCAAAGCAAACACTGCATGAGAGGGTCGTACTGAGCCCTTTCTTGAAACATCTTATATTTTAGCTGTTTTAGCGTTGTGGAAGAGAAAAAATAGCTCTATTTTCATCTTTGCAGAAGCTTGCAAGTCTGTTAAATGTTTTTATGTAAATGTACCAAATTATTTCCTAAATTAATGTTCGTAGTCTTAATGTTCTATAGCGTCACATAAGCTAAAGTTAAAATAGAAAATCTTAGATAATATAAAATCATCTTTCGTGTTTGTTGCACGCATGCCATGTTTATGTAATACAAAAAGAACTTTTGATTGTCCGGGGTCTAGCAATTTTTTCAACTAGATAGCTCACTAAATTTGCAATCTGGAGAGTTGCTTTGACTATAAGCATTGTACCGACGAAGTTTTAGCTGCAAAACATCCGTTTGCCGAAGTCCGCTTCGTCGGGGTGGGTAATATGACCATTTCTAAATCTTTTCTGATGAATAATGTTATCAGTGATAGCAATAGTGAAATATTATGAAAGATGGTGAATTTAGAAGCAAAATCATGAATGCATGGCTTTGTGGAGCTTGTATGTGGTATTGTGCCGGTGGTCTGACATGATTATTTTGAAAAGTAAACTTTGTTTTCCCATTGTCTGTGTAGAATTTTGATATTCCAGTTTTTTTTGCTGAACAGATGGAAATACTCTCCTGGATCATAGACCTTGCTTTTACAAATTCCAGACAAAAAGATGATAAAGTTTTTCAATTAATCAAAAGTTGACAAATTAAGGTAAATCATTGATTTTTGATGTGAAAATAGGTTATTAAGCGATGAAAAACTTTAAAGATGAGGAGGATGAAGGTCCACCGAAATTTTCTTTTACTACAAAGCATGACAAACCCAACCGATACATTTTTATATGTATTATCTTCATTATCCAACAAGAGTGACAAGGAGCTGAACCAAAAGTTTTAGTGAAGTATTGGACCATTACAGAAGCATTTAATTTTCATGATGATAAGTCTGGAAATTTTTGCTTGGATGGACAATTTGAAAATTCGTTAAATAAAGAGTGAAAAAAGTGAAAAAACTTCTAAAGCTAGAACAACATGGCCCAGTTTTGGCTGATTTGAAGCGCAAAAATGTCATGCTGAATTTTGGGGCAGTGATGAAAGGCCAACACGTCACATGAGAAAAATGGATGATGTCTGTAAGGATATTTAAAAAAATGCTGAACATAAAATTTCTTTCATGAAGACATCATGTATTGAACACCAGCCACCATTTTGTGAATGTTTTTGAAATTAGCTTCAGGCATCGATTGTGCAATAAAGGTTATGGAAGATTTAGATTTTACACCTGGTGCAACGATTAGAGTGATAAAACAGGATTTCCTCCAGATGATGAAGTAAAAAATGACGACGGTTTCTTTGTCGACAATTTCCTTGACAAAGACTTTGGTATTTAAGACAAGGATTATGATATATTAAAGTTTCACTCACCGCCATACTCTTGAGACTCATAAACAATGTCACCCGCTCATATTGTTTGGTGCTCACAATAGCACTGATAAAATATTCTTTTGTATCATACAACAAACATGGCTCAATTGCCTATATCTATGAGAGAATATGTTGCTGATGTCTACGAGCATAAAAGAAATAAGCTTTAGGCAACAATCAAGAAGAAAGTGAAAAGATCTCGACTTTTTTATCAATGCACTTGTTTTTCAGCATTTGGCTAGTCCCAATATTATCATGCTCTCTGCATAAGGTTCTTAGTTATGTATTTTTATTTAAATGATAATTGTTGCTAGTCAGTGATGTATACTTATGGTTATATAATTGAGATGTTCTACGTGAAAGTCATTAATGTTCATGAAACAGTTTGTTGAAGGAAAGTCGTACTTTGCTTTATCTTTGTTCGTTATCTAAATGCCCTTATGCAACGAAACTCACATGGGTAAAAAAAATTGATACTGAATTAAGGTATGAAATTTAATCGCAATTATTCACCTGCTATTCATGTGGTTGTGTTGCTTTTATTTTATCTTTCACTTTTTATCGGGTGTGTGTCAGTGATAAATGAAAAGATTAAGCATGCAGTCTTTTTAACAGTAGTTTTAAAGTCCGAATTCTAAAATGAGTGTAATTTAAAAATTACAAACGAGATTTCGAAACTGCATTCCTGACATTACAAGTTTACCGAAGCATCGCCATGAAGATAGACAGAAAATCCATTACAAATCGATGTTCAGATGTTTTTATCTTAAATTGAACTCATTTTTCCAATAGTATATGTGACTTTTGAATTATAGTCACCTTTATTACCACAATGAAAGCTTGTGTTTCATTTTACATTTCTTAAAATTATCTTTAATAAAAATCTGCATGTGCTTTCTATTATGAATTCATCTTAATGCATGGGAGAGAGTAAGAGAAAAGCTGATATGATTTGAAATTAAATCCAAGTTCTAGAAGAAAAGTAATTTACAAAATGCAAATTATGAAACTGCATTCCTGAAATTACAAGTTTACTGAAGCCTCACTTTTTATCGGGTATGTTTCAGTGATAAATGAAACGATTAAGCGTAAAGTCACTCTGAGTGTATTGTTACAAAGTCCAAATTCTATAACAAGTGTAATTTAAAAAATACAAACGAGATTTCGAATTTGCATTTCTGACATTACAAGTTTACTGAAGCATCCATGAATATTAACTGAACATATTTATGTTTCGACATATTTATGTTCATGCAAATATGTTCAGTTTATGTTCATGGTGATGCTTTAGTATGGCGATTTTTGTTTCTCGTGTGCACGCGCAACATTTATATGAAGGGATATTTAATTCAACAAATCTACATTTATATAAAAATGTTGCTACTGTCTACTTGTAAATCAATATCGCATTCGCAAATATTTTCTGGCATATAAACATGACAAATCTACAGCTAACGGATACTTTCATTTTAAATGAAACCCGTTTTGATGATACTATATTGTAGCTTAAACTAATTATGTAAGATATCATTGATGCCAGAAGTTTGAAGTTTTATATGATCCTAACTTTAGCAACTTTAAATTTTTGAGGTAGTTGGCTGTAAGAAACAAAACTTCAACATATACAACATGACATAAAGTAAACATCTTAAATAGGCGTTTACGAACATCAACGTGAAGGATACTATGAACAAGGAAAAAGCTATGGGTGACTTCTTTTGTAGGACAGTAAATGTTGTTTCAAAGATTTATAAAAGGGATAACTTTTTGAGGAATTAATTTTATCAAAAATAGACTTCGTTGTGTAGCAACTTTAAATATTTCCTTAAGACAATTAGTTATATTCAACTTTAGGTAAGCATTATAAACAGTTACTTGTATAAGTATAGAAATTGTTTGAAATTCCTCATGATAGTCTTACATATATTTAGTTGTACATTTTAAATTCACATTCACAAATATTACAGCGTTTGCAATGTAGAAACCATGCTTTACATTATCACTCGATCATTTAAGCAATTAATACCATAAATGCTCTGTTTACTGTCGGAGCTTTGAAGTACACACCAAAGTGGTTGCTTTAACATGGCAAAAAGCACACTTAAGCTCTATTGACAAATTTCAAAGTAATCATGCGCTCTACATCAGCATGAGGCTGTTTTGCGGACATCTTTAGATGAGTAAAAATTTTTGGTTAGTGACATAGTTATAGTTACATAACTGAAATGTTCTTCCTAGAACTCATTAATGTTTAATGAATCAATTCGCTGAAGAAGAGCCATACTTTCAGTTTTGATATGTATTTGTAAAGCATAACTCATGGATCGTTAAGAATCGATGCTAAAACAAGGTATGTTTTGTGTTTTTTTTTATGCTACATATGAAGGTTTGACGCATAATGATCAGGTTGCTTCTTTTTAGCCGATTCTAAAACTAAAATACTTTTTTGTAAAAACGATTTCAACTTACCTACGAGCTGTTTTTGTTGTTGTTGACTGACGTTTCGACAACCTTAGCGGTAGTCATCTTCAGAGTCAAAAATTGACTGTGACTCTTTTGACTCTGAAGATGACTACCGCTAAGGTTGTCGAAACGTCAGTCAACAACAACAAACAGTCCTTTCAGGACTATACCAACCTGGACGATCTACATTTACAAACATGTAACGATACTCCCGGGTTCAAACCATTTACTTTATTACCTAAGAGCCTTAATTTCGAATCTAAATTACTAAACATTACTAGTTTATGGAAGCATCTTTATGAAGAGGATATTAAATCAGCAGCTCATTTATTTTCTTTCTGAACAAAATTCGTCTCCATATTACTATGCCTTCAGAGTCTGGGTGATACGATATTTGAATTACATGTTACTTGAATTTACATTCATTAAAATGTTTAGAAACTGTTGCTCAAAGTATGTATGAATACTTTGGAAAACAACATATGATGTTTAATCGAAACTTGCTCAAGAAATTAAAGTAACAAATTTACATCAATTTTATGCCCTGTTGAATGTGTAGACTTTAAAGTAAACCGCCAAAACAATCGCGTGAGTACCGAGAAGAACATCGTGAATCACATAATGCTCCATGAAGATATATTAAAGACGTGTACAGAAACTTTCAGTTCTATACAACGAATATAGTCTGTTTACAGATATAAAATTCATTACTTCAAAGCTCAAACTAAACATCCTTTTGACATGTCAAAACATACCAGAGCATAATTGACTAATATTAATATTATTAAGCACTCTGCATGAGGCTCTTCAACATATATCACATATCAATAGAGTTATAATTCGGTGACGTGTACTTAGTTGTATGAGTGGGAGGTTCTTCCAAGAATTCATTAATGTTAATGTTAAGGTTGTTAAAGGAAGAACTTAAATGGATCTTCAGTATTTGTTTGTAGACCAAAATAAACTAATGCTTTCATAAGGTATGAGTTATAGTCTTATAATTCTTTGTTTTTACATACATGATGTTAGGAAACCTGTAAAAAAGTATGGATGATGGTCGAGTTGCTTCTCAATTTTAATCACTTGTCTTCTCTTGACTATGTTAGGAACTGAAAGCTTTAGCAAACATCCTTTGTTAAACAAGGTCATATGATTAAAGTCCAATGACTAAATTCTAAAACTTAGGTTCTTTTGTTGGCAAATTGGTTTCAACCAGCCTTAAAAACCCGACACATCGAAGGTTCATTTCTATATAAGCATTACAAGTTTACTAAAGCGTTTCAAAGGCTTTCCAAGCACTCTTCATGAGCAGAGTAGTATCAATAGTAGTTGTAACTTGGTGACGTATACTTAGTTATACGAATTGAAAGCTTAAGAGAGGCTCCTTTGGTAAACAATGTCTTTAAGAGTAGAGACCAATGACTATATAGATTTTAAAGATAGGGTGTTTTGCACTGACAAATTGATTTCAACAGATCTTAAAAACCGAACTATCGAAAGAGTATTTCTGTTTTAGCATTGCAAATTTGTTTTATTTTGTTTTACTTAAAATTGTCTGCTTGTCCTGGTTATTAATATATTTGCGAAACAGGGCGTATCTCTAATTAATATAGTTGGTGAGTTGAATTGCATATTAATCGTAAAAGTGTGGCTTTCATCAATGCATGAAATATAAATGAGGTGCTTTTCCAATAAGTCATTAATAAGGTCATATCTCACTACTATACTATTGTTGCTATAATGCATATTTTTTCAATATATATTTTGCTGCGTTCCTATTTTGTACTTCTGTTGTTATTATTAAAAACTTTTGAGTTAAAAGCCTCTCTTTAAGAAATGCCTCACTTTAATAATCGCAATCGCGTCCTTTTCGAGGTATGTTTTAAAATAAATCCGGTATATCGAATGCCTCATGAAATGTTCAAATTGCTTAAAATTTTGCAATCTGAGTTCGTTCTAATAGGTACTGTATAGGATTGAAACTCAGCAAAAAGATGCAACTGATAGTTTTATACGAGAACTTTAAATTGATTTATTGCATCAAAATTTTTTGTCTTTGTAGTTAATGTATATTCAAATGAACAATGGAAGAACAACATTATGATGAGTTCACAGATGATAGCGTGAAAGAAGATGATGCGTCTGGACGACAACACGGAGTTAATCTGGACGATAACACAGAGCTTAGAAAAAGTATGTAGTTGCGTGTAATATGCAGCAGTTGCTGTTTCTTTATGAATAACGTGGTCTAGTATTATTACAATACTTGTTAAATAATTGTTTTATACTATTCACGTATTACAGTTCTTTGCTTTGATTGAAGAAAATATCACTTGTTTATATGAGCAAGAGCACAGTAACCTTTATTGACTCCAATCTTTTAGTTGTGGCATGAAATTTTACATGTTTGTAAATGTAGTTCGTCCGGTTTGCCACTTTCTAACGTTCAAGTTTTCTGATTCAAATTTATTTGATATGCCGCAACTCAAACGTTTATTTGGGGAGGAGGGGGGGGAGCGGTATACTTGTAGCCATTTGTACCGGACTGATTACTTTCATATGCAATTTTCTCAAAGAAATTAATCTCAAAGAAATGTAACAATTTTCTCAAAGAAATGTAACAAATTTAAAGCTTATAACACATTATCATATCTACTAAAGATGGCATCATAAGATGTTGAACATGTCTAAGTATTTTATTAAAAATTTGTTGTGTTCATGAAATATGCATTGACAATACTGCTTTATACTCATATGTAAGAGTAAAAAGCGAAAAGATGAAGATTGCTGCAACTTTGCGCATATGTAATTTTTGATTATTTGTACGGAGAGCCTGATTGCGTCAACATTTACGGAATAATTGATGGAAGTGCTGGTTGATATTCAAAATAAATGTCAATGGCGTAGATAGACTCGACAATTTAAGAAAAAGGCTTATATTCATTGATTTTAAGGATATTTCATAAATCATATAACATTCATATATAAAATTTGTCCCTACTCCACTATCCAACTGTTATGAAATTGGTTACACAATTGATAACTGTTGCAAGTTAAGTAAATCAGAGATATTGATCCCATTGGTTTGCCGGAAAAAAAAATGCTTTGATGATATAAACCTAACATTGCTGACTCCCTCAATTTTTGAAATGTGGTTTTATTTATTTTAATTCAATTTAGGTGTTGAAAAACTTCATTCATTCTTTGAAAGTGATGCACCAACCAATGAACCGGGCACACTTTCCCAAAGCTTTAAACATGAGGCAAAATTTACCTTAAAAAATGCACGCACTTTGGATATGCAAAAGTTTACTGAAGATAAACTGACCTCACGTAACCAAATTCCAAAATATATTCTTCAAATGTTAATGATGGCCAACTACCATGTGCGTGAATTTACTTTGAAAGGAATCAACCCAATGGATGCTTTGTTAGGAATTTTCCATTGTTCAGACAATTTCTTACGACAATATATAGCTGTTAAACTTAGCGAATGTCAGCTTAGCGTTCCTTTTATTTTACCTGATCCTGATGATCCAGTGGAGAAGCAAACTATCTTGCTTTCAGCGTTGGGAAAAATAACAAAGTCTTGGAGAGGTGCCTCAATCAACGACTCGGCTAAAGAGGTCTACGCAACAGAACATCCCTTTCCCATAGTGTCATTTATCCGGGTGGGTAATGTGACCATGTCCAAATCATCTCTGATGAATAAAATTATCAGTGATGGTAATGGTGATCATGAATTCTTCTTTCATAAAAACATGGAAGGTGGTGATTTTGTAAGAAGAGTCGTTGATGGTTTGGTTGAGCTTGTGTGGTATCTTCCAGGAGGATGTGACAAGAACACGTTAAAAAATGAAATCTGTTTTGCCAATCTACGGGGAGATGCCCAAAATCTTAAGAAACAAGTTGATATACTTTGTGAAATATCAAACATTTTGTGCATTTTGTTGCCCTCGGAAATGCCCGACAAATGCATGATAAATTTTTTGAATGATGCTCTGCTGTTCGATGGCAAAATCATACTAATTTTTAATGAAAACATGCGAAAAGAAGTGAAAAATTACTACGACGGCGTTATAGGTCAACATTCAACAAAATTATATTCCATCACTAAATCATTGATGACATCCGATTACAGATATTTGAAAAGTATTCGCGAAGCAATCCAGAGCAACATAAAAGAAACAGAAGTGAAATCTTTAGAAAAGGTGAGGTTACTATCAAAGAAAAGTGGAGTTTATGTTGATGATGACCAAGCTAATATTGAGTGGGACAAAACTTTCAAAACTTGGCTTTCTTTTGGGATTGAAGAAACAAAAAAGTGGTTCAAGCTTCAACTTCATATACCTGTTCTGGCGGATTTAGAAAGAAAGAAACATAATCCAAAGTTTCGTCTCAACATTGAAAACACGTGCAGAGAAAACGATCTAAATGAACCATATGAAGGTATAAAAAAAGAAAAGAAGGCTCAGATGGTATCATTTCAGAAGATGGATACAGAAATTCGTCATTTCCTGAATTCCATTGCTGTGATGAATGAACGAATGCTGAACAGAAATTTGCAACGATTGAAGTATTTATTTGATAAGGCTTCTCTATCTGCGATGGCAAACTTGCATCAACAATGTCGTCCAAAGTTACAAGAAACACACAATGACATGCTTGATTCACAATCTCAAGAAGAAAATCGTTTAACAGATTTAGAAGCATTGATATCATACTCTTTATTTGGTTTGGAGAATGTCATAAGAGAGCTTGCTCAACTTCATCAACTCTCCGATTTTGTAATCAATAATTATGCCAGTGCTGGTGCGAAGATTCTTCTTTCAGGTCATCCTTTGGAATTATTAGATGGTGATTCAGGTTACCTACCTTTAAAATGGTTTGATGCTGTTTATAAGGAAGTGGAACGCGAAACAAATAACGCTAGAATCTGCGTGATTTCTGTATTAGGTATTCAAAATTCTGGTAAGTCGGCAATGTTGAATGCAATGTTTGGCTTGGAATTTCCTGTAAGTGGGAGAAAGTGCACTCGAGGCGCTTTTGTTTGCCTTGTTCCAATTAGTGATCGACTTAAATCGGACTCAAACTTGGACTTCTTATTGATCATCGATACTGAAGGACTGAGAAGACAGGTTGATCCAACAGTGAGAGAACATTCCATTGAATTGGCAACTTTTGTTATTGGTGTGGCTGATGTTACGATTGTCAATATGTTTGGTGAAAAGCATAATGAAATAATAGAATTTTTAAACATGGTTGTTCACGCTTTTTTTAAAATAAAGCTGCTAAAAGAGAAAAAACATTGCAAAATCCTTTATCAAAATGTTTCTGCTACGAACACCGAGGAAAATTTTACAGCGAATTGGCAAAATTTAAAGCATGATCTAGACAAAATGGCAAAGCTTGCAGCTGTACAAGAAAACTGTGAAGATCAGTTTCAAAAGTTTGACGACATCATTGCATTTGACGAAAACAAAGACACGTTTTACATACCAAATTTATTGAAAGGAAGTCCTCCTATGGCTCCAGCGAATCCAAATTATGGTATTGCTGTGCAGAAAGTAAAGGAGAGTATAATTGAGTTAATGTGTTCAGAAAAGTTGATCAAACTTACTGTTTCTTCGTTTCGTGAACGAGTTAAAAGCTTTTGGAAAGCCATACTGAAGGAAAATTTTAACTTTAGTGCTCGAAATATTTTCCAAGACAATTTAATGTTAAATGAAGATATGATCTTCGCACTTTGTTGGACAATTTAAAAAAAAAAATTGACCTGCTCACCACTGTGTGACTTCATAGCTCAGTTGGTCAGAGCACTGCACCGGCACCGCAGAGATCATGGGTTCGATTCCCGTTGAGTCACCTGATTTTTTCAGGTTTATGAGACAATTGCTCAAATTGTCCAACAAAGTGCGAAGATCATATCTTCATTTAATTTCAAACACCGCACTGCATAAAACATTCATATAACATTCATTTCACGAGAAAACATGAGCCCAACAAAATTGACCTGCTCACCACTGTGTGACTTCATAGCTCAGTTGGTCAGAGCACTGCACCGGCACCGCAGAGATCATGGGTTCGATTCCCGTTGAGTCACCTGATTTTTTCAGGTTTATGAGACAATTGCTTAAATTGTCCAACAAAGTGCGAAGATCATATCTTCATTTAATTTCAAACACCGCACTGCATAAAACATTCATATAACAATTTAATGTCAGATCAAAATGCAAATGAGGAGGAAGTATCTAAAAAAGTTTTCCGTAAGTTCAAGCATTTGTCAGACATTTCACGAACATATTGCTATGGTTTTAAAAAGCCAGTCTGTCCCATTTCAAAATGTTGTATTGTTAATGTAACAAGTATCAACGACTCTTGAACAAGTATTAGATCTATTCATATTCATACAATGTTTGATATTCATAAGAAATGTTCTTCACATGTGCCTGTTGAAAAAACTAAATGTCATAAATACTTTGATAAAACTAAAGAAAAAGTAGTCGGGCTCAATAAGAATAAAATTTAGTTAAAATGCTGAGGTTTTGAATATAGCTTATTTCTATATTAAGTTTCTTTTGAAAACCTAATATATTGCAGAAAAGTGTCGCTGATATACGTTGATGTTTGGTACTACTGTATAAGCATATTTTCATGAAATTATGATTTACTTTGAAGCCATGATATTTTTTGGGATACGTAGAGCCAACACACATTGCCCAGAGTCATGAGCGTTCATAATGCTACTGACAATAGGAAACATGCTTATCAATGCCATTTGTTTACGTAGCTAAAGAGTTTGTTCAAGTCTGCAGTTCACTTCCTGTCAACTTAGCATACATACTTCATACAAACTCTTTTCTTACTAAATTGAGTATACAACCCCACATACAAAAACATACATTTTTCAAGTTAGCTTGAACAGATTCTTATATAAGTGGCATTATTGGTTCTTATTTTCTTAAGAAAAAAGGGACTCCTTTTTGGCTGTCGTAGATTATGCCCAAATTGTTTTTAAAAATTACAATATGTGCCCTCATACAAAAACTATATCACAGTTTATAGGTCTTATGTAGGATTCAGACTTCTATGTCATTTTCATTACTTTGTAAATTAAAAGTTGATTTTTTTGAGTTAGCTATATTTAGTTTCATAGAATGATCTTAACATTATTTTGTGCGGTGATTTACTTGTAGGATAATTTACCATGGAAAAATTAGCTAGTGTTAGATTAAAACTTGTTGAGAAAAAACTTTAAAAAATGTTTTTCGGCTGATTTGGTCAGTTCCAGAGGTGAATCCAGAATTTCATCCAGGGAAGGGTGCATCATTTGAAAATGTTGGAATGCAATGACATTTTCTTTAAAAAGCTATTAAATCATATGAGCTCAGGAAGGGGTGCACTTCTGGATCCGCGTCTGAATTCGTAAACTTACGAGAAGAGACTTATTGTGTATGTTGTTAAATTAGAATCCAGCCAAACAATTGACAGCAAGAATTTGGATGATTTCGATGAAGAAGACAAGGAACGCACTCACGCCAATAGAAATCAAAAGAAAAGCGTCATGGAAGAAAACTTAAAATCCTTTCAAGATGACGGAGAGTGTATGAAGTGTACGTATTCATGAGTAACAAACAAAATGTTGAACAAGGCACAACATTTGAATTCGATTTTAAAAGATTTAGTAGCTTCAATTCAGCGCAAATCTTTTTTTGTTATGTTATAAAGTATGGATTATGATATGAAGCAGCATGGATGTTTTCATTGGACACACTTTTTTGACCATGTGAATGCCAAAGCCTATATTACATGAAAACTTTTTACCATACAAAGATATATTTTCTCATTATATATCAGTTTTGAAGTGCATTAAGTTAGCAATTGATTTGAATTAGACTCTTTGTGATTGTTTAAGGTAGGTTTACACACAACGATTTGTCGGGCCGACACCTACGCCATATTACGTGACTCTTGCCATGTATGGAACATTTGTCGTGTAAGACAAATCACTGTTTGTAAATCATTGGTGTCAATAATGCACCCGATGTATTTACGCAATTTCGAAAGCAGAAAAAGAAAAAAAAACAGGTCAAAGAACAATATCAAAGCAAAATTAAAACTTGTCATTGCAGCAACGGAGAAAATGTTTATTATTATTATTGCCCCAACAAATAAAGAGAAAAAAAATATTGGGTAGAGTGAGAGCAAATTTAAATTTTACGTATTTCTTTTTTAAGAAAATTGACTTTTTTCGTTTTCTGAATCTTTGCAGCTTTTGATTTTCAATAAGAAACAACAACGCTTTTAACACTTTCTTTTTCAGTGTTGACAGAAGACATTTCTATACTCATTTTTCGATAATCATAATTTTCTTGTTTCAGATGCTATAGTAACAAAGTAAAAATCGGGATCAAATCTGTAGTTTGTTACAGATTTTCATCCGATTTTTGAGTCGGGCTACTTTCCAAAATATGGAAAGAACACGTAATATGGCGTCAGTGTCGGCCCGCTAAATTGTTGTCTGTAAACGTACCTTAAGTCTTTTCCTTTCCCTACAACTAATTATTTCTTGAAATAGAATGAAATTTGTTAGAGAAGCTGAGAAAATTATGCAACATTGTTTCTCCAACAACTTAAAAGTAAAAATGAGGATTCTGTTTCTAGATATGAGAGAATCTATGCAAATCACAAAGAAAAATACTTTGAATAATTTTGATGAAAAGAAGAGAAACGAGCAAGACTGCAACACCAAAAATGTTGAAGGTAAATGCGTGTAGAAACCCTCTAATGTTAAAACGTGGTATGACTTCTATTAAGTCTTTTTCTATAGATATGCATGTGGTAGGAAAGACAATAGGGGACGTATAAAAATCTTACAACTTGTGTGTTTCTTGATTTTAAACTCATCTTTATAAAAAACGTAATGCATGGATGGAAAACCCTGAAAGTCAGCGTATCCGATTGCTGACTGTCATTTTCGCGCGCTTGGACGTCTTTTCTTTACGCGCTTGGATGCGCATGCGTCTTTCTGATCATTAATGTCTGAAAAGATAAATAACTGCAGATAAGCTGATTTTTAGGAGTACGAATGGCAAATTAAATAAAAAAAAATTCAAAGTTTGTATTTGGTGGCGAAACTCGTGGAGTTTACACCTTGTATTGACTATACTAAAGTGCTTGGTTTAAACTTCTCGTTAAAATTTAACATTTTAAAGAAATGACGCTGCGTGAGGAGAAACTGAGTGCCATTAGTAGTTCAGCGAGCTTCTGAAGCGTTGGATTGTTTAATGTCGCATCTTGGATGTCATTGCAGTAGGATTGGCATGCAGATGTAGTTAGAAGTGACACATACTCCTCTGAAATGCCACGTTCACGGTTGGTTTTGTATTGGGTGGCGAAAGATGTAGTCGGCTGGGTTGGTTTTGCAGGTCTAATAGTGGATAGTTAAGTTGTATGGTTGTAAGCGAAGATTCCAACGTTCCAATCGAGTTGGAGGGTTTGGCTTTTGAGTTGTTTAAAATGTGCATCACCAGTGGTTTGTGATCAGTAATTAATGTGAATGGTGCGCCATGTATGTAAATGTGAAATTTTCTACATGACATTAAGCAGGCGAGGGCTTTGCGTTGTGAAACGTTTATATAGTTATTTATAAGCGGAAAAAATAAGCTTGCTTCATAATGCACATGTCTTCCGAATAAAGACGAAATATTGCCTACTCTGTGTTTAAACTCTTGCTTCATCTTGAATATCAAGAAAATGGGATGTTATTTTGTACTATCTAAAATTGTATGCTTCTCATGGTTATTACGGATACCATGGCTATTTATATATGTAATATGTATATATCAACCTATGAATATATCAACCGTAGACACAATAATATTTTTGTCTTTAGTTGAAAGTAAATCCATGGTGGAAGATAATTCTCATGATTTTAATAAAGAAAATAAAAGCAAGGATGACAAACACGGTGAACATGTTGAAGATGAAAGCGTTAAGAAGCAAAATGGACCTTCTACAAAAGATGCCGGAGAAAGTATAGAAGGTACGTATTCAGAGATTTTATCTAGTGCAGCCTTACGAATCTTACGTTGCAGATAAAATTGCTGCAGACGAAAAAGGAAATAATTCTAAACATGAAGATTTTATTGACAATACGTATATTAACGGAGAGTTATATTAAAAGATGTAAAGATATGCACTTTGTTTTGAAAACACTCAAATTTGACCATTTAATTATTTTCATTTTTTGCCTTTACTTCAAAAGCGTTGATTGATTCCAAATTTTAATTTGCAGGCTTGTACGTAAATCACCCCAGTCTTCTGTTGTTGTATTTTATTTAAACAAAGAATAAAGAGCAATTACAATTTTTTGTTTATTCTTATCTCAACTAGGGTCAGAAGAAAGTAACGCTAAACTGGGAGAAACATTATCACAACTCTGCGCTAGTTTGAACTTAAATGTTGAGTCAAAGCTTACCTTAAAACATTTACGCACTGTAGACAATCACATGTTTACTGGCGATAATCTAACCTCTACTGACCAAATCCCTGGTTATATTCTTAAAACATTGATGATTGCTGACTACCATGTGCGTGAATTTACCTTAAAACCATTAAATTCAAACGAAAGGGGTGAAGTTTCCAATGAATTAAATGAAGACATTGAAGACACTGGTTCTGATGCGAGAGACAGCGATAGCGAAAGTGGAAATGAAATTGAAAGTGTGGAAAGGATTAACCCTGTGGATGCTTTAATAGGGATTTTTCATTGCTCTGATATTTTCTTACGGCAAGATCTAGCTGTTAAACTTAGTGCTTGTCAGCTTAGTATTCCTTTCATTTTACCTCATCCTGAAACGCCAGAAGAGCGCATAATAATCTTACATTCAACGTTAGAAAAAATAAAAAAATCTTGGAAAGGTGCTTCATCGGAAGATTCTGCTAAAGAAGTCTACGTAACTGAGCATCCATTTCCTGTAGTGTCGTTTATCCGGGTGGGTAATGTGACCATGTCTAAATCTTCTCTGATGAATAAGATCATCAGCGACGCTAATGGTGATCATGAGTTCTTCTTTCATAAAAACATGGAGGGTGGCGATGTTGAGAGAAAATTCGTAAATGGTTTGGTAGAACTTGTGTGGTATCTTCCTGGTGGATGTGACAAGAACACCTTAAAAAATGAGATCTGTTTTGCCAATTTACGTGGAGATGCTGAAAAGTTTAAGAAGCAACTTGATATACTTCGAGAAATATCAAACATTTTGTGTATTTTATTGCCCTCAGAAATGCCCGACGAGCGAACGAAAAATTTTTTGAAAGAGGCCTTGCTTTGCAAAGGTAAAATAATACTTATTTTTAACGAAAAAAGACGGAATGAAGCTAAGAAATTCTACAACGGCTTGAAAAATGAACATTCTGCAAAGTTATCATTGTTTACAAAATCGCAAAAGTCGAGCGAGTTTAAATTTTTACAAAATATGCGCAATGCCATCCAGAGAAAAATAAATGAAACTGAAGTAAAATCTTTGGTAAACCTTGGACTCTGGCCAAAAAAAAATGGCGCTTATTTGGATGATGAAAAAGATTATGTCGATTTTGGAAAAACTGTTGAAACTTGGTTTCCTTGGGGCAATGAAAAAGCAAAAAAATTGTTCAAACTACAGCTTCACGTTCCTGCTTTGGCAGATTTGGAAAGAAAGAAGCACAATCCAAGTCTTTGTCGCAACATTAAAACTGTTACCGATCTTACTAAAGTGAAAGAAGACTTGGAAAAGGAAAAAGAGGCTCAAATGGAATCTTTGGCCAAAATGGATGAAAATGTTCTTAATTTTCTTAAATCTCTTGCTGTCATGAATGAGCATGAACTAGTAGGAAGTTTACATCAAGTGAAGTATTTGTTAGATAAGGTGTCGCTCTCTGTGATAACAAAACTGCTTCAACAATATAGTCAAAAGAAAGGCAAAAATTACAATTTGCAATGTGAGGAAGAAGAGCGTTTAAAGGAACTGGAAGCATCAATATCGCATACTTCGTTTGGTTTAGAGCATATTTTTAGAGAACTTGCTCAACTTTATCAATTGAAGAATGACGTAACATTTGATTATGCTTGTGCTGCAGCAAATATTCTTCTTTCAGGAGAGCCTTTGGAACTATTAGATGGTGATTCAAGATACCTGCCATTAGATTGGTTTGATGCTGTTTATAAAATATTGGAACGCAAAACAAACAACGCTAGAATTTACGTAATTTCTGTGTTAGGTATTCAAAGTTCAGGAAAGTCGACAATGTTGAATACAATGTTTGGTTTGGAATTTCCTGTAAGTGCACGAAGATGCACTCGTGGTGCTTTTGCTAGTCTTGTTCCAGTTAGTGAACAACTTAAATACGACTCAAATTTTGATTATATATTGATCATCGATACTGAGGGTTTGAGAGGATTGGTTGATCCCAAATTGAGAGAACACGATAATGAATTGGCAACCTTTGCTATTGGTGTGGCTGATGTAACTATTCTCAACATCTTTGGTGAAAATCAGAATGAAATGAAAGAGTTTTTGGAAATGGCTGTTCATGCTTTCCTGAAAATGAAACTTGTTAAGGAGAAGAAATCTTGTAAAATCGTCCATCAAAATGTTGCTGCCACTGACGCTGAAAAGATGGATCGGCGCAATCTAAAACAGGATCTAGATAAAATGGCTAAGCTTGCTGCGGCGCAAGAAAACTGCGAAGATCAGCTTCAAAAGTTGGATGATATCATTGCATTTGACGAAAAGGAAGATGTGTTTTACATACCAAGTCTTTTGAAAGGAAGTCCTCCTATGGCTCCAATAAACCCAGATTATGGCAAAGCCCTACAAAATGTGAAGGAAAAAATAGTTAAGGAAATGTGTTCAAAGAGAATGGTCAATTTCACTCTCTCTTCCTTTTGCAATCGAGTTAAAAGCCTTAGGGAAGCCATGTTAAAGGAAAACTTAATCTTCCATTTGCGAAATGCGATCGAAACCCGAGCTTATGCTGCTTTAGATAAAAAATTCTTTGAAAAATCAGTTGAAGTGATGATCAATGGAATAGCTGAAACTGAACAAAGCATCCATAGAAAATTTAAACGATGCTCAACACAAAAAGAACTCGAGAACTGTTGGGTGATCTGTAGAGTCGACATAGTTAACAAAGCGAATGAACTGGAGACTAAAATGGAAGAAGCGATTCGTGAATTTTTTAAAAATAGTGAAGATAGATCCACACTTGAACAATGGAAAAAAGACGTGCTAGTTAAAATTAAAAGATACAAAAGAGATCGAGAAATATCTCTCTTAGCAAGTTGTCAAGACATCTTCAACTATCTGCAGCAACGCCAGCATATTACAGAGAAACAACAAATGTATGAAAAACAACTTCTGAATGAAGCAAAAAATTTTGTCATCGGTCAAAACATAAAAAATGAAGAAGAATTTAAAGAAATGTTTAAAAAAGAATGGCAAAAGTGGATCAATACGATTCCTCCTTGCAAGGAAGTAAAACAAAAAGTTGACGAGCATATGGTGACGGTTCTTTTACAAGAAAATTCTGAATTGAAAGATGATATGGAATCTAAACTGAGTTCTGTCAATAGTAAATTGTCTACATTTTTGGATCAGGATTTTGCCATTGATGAAACTATGCTTTCTTTCAGTATTTCAGCAAAAATCGTAAATGTTGTTGATCATAACAAAGGCAAGGCCGTCTTTCATGCCACTAAAATCAAAGATAAAGCTATAACAAGCGGGCAACAGTTTGCAGAAAAGATTTCCATAAATTCCGATAGATACTCTAAAAATGATCTTGTGTTAATGTATTATGAAATCACTTCAGTAATCAAAAAAGAAACAGAGAAAGATAGCATTAAATTTGAAAAATCATTAATATGTGATATATTGTTACACTCATTTGCACAAGCTCTTCCTATTTTTGAAGAAATGGAGGAGCGCTACGTCAAACTGCATGATCATCGAAGTAACCTTGAAGAAAAATTGAGACCAACGTTGGAAATCTATTTTATCAACCATTTTAAAAAGATAGATAAAGAAGTTTCAGCCGCTACGTCAATTGTAAATGTTCTTCAAGAGCCTATCAAGTCGGAGCTTAATGAGGGCATTGCGATTGAAGTTCATAAAAAGCTTGTTTCAGAAAGCATATTTCAAAATAAAAGCTCTTTCCATGCCAGTGTTTTAATTGAGCTGGGGAAAAAAGGTAACTTTGAGTTGTTTGTTCCTTATTTTCAGAATCCTGTTAAATTTCTAAAAGAAAAACTGAAGGAATCGGTTGAAAAAATTTGCCTGAACAAAAAATCATCTCTGGTCAAAACGTTGTTAAAGCAAAAGGGAGAGAAGCTCAAGTCAGATATTTTATCTGCCATTGATGTCACAAACAAACACGTAAAAGATAAACTCAAACAAGAAAAGAGGGAATGGAATATAACAAAATGGATTGAAAGATTTGTGAAAGAGTGTTCTTCTCTTGCCATCACGAAAGAAATGTTTGGTGTGGCTACAATGGATGAAGATTTAAAAGAACCTTATTTATTTGACATGAAAGTTCCGGAGCTCGTTTCTAACTTTATACAATCTCTAGTTGATGTTGAACTAGATAGTGAAACTATTATTAATTGGCAGCCACCGCTTTACGAAAGGCTTTTTACATCAATATTTGGATGTCAAGCTCTTTGCCCATTTTGTCAAGTTTTGTGTGATCAAACTAATGACCATTCGAAACCTTCAGACAATTATCATAATCTGACCACTCTACCAAAGCACTCGACAAAATTGCATCGTCCTCTAGGTTTGATTGGTTTTCACAACAAAAAAACTAAGATATTATCTCATGAAACCTGCCCAAATAGGGTAGCGGGACGCTTGAAATTTACACTCTCGGATACAAACAATAAAGAGTATTTCTATAAAGATTATCAGTCAGTAAACAATTATTACAAATCCTGGTCAATTCCTCCCGATCGTTCATTTGAAACCTTCAAATATTGGAAATGGTTCATGGTAAAGTTCTCAAAAGAACTGGCAAAACATTATGGGAGAACAGAAGCACACGATATTCCCCGGGCTTGGAAAAAAGTGACGTTCGATGAAGCTATAGAACAACTGAAGAAGGAATACAAACTATAAACATGTGTTGAAAACATTGCTAAAGTGGTGATTTATACTCTATTCCCTCAGAAATGTCTGTGTAACTTTTATTTTGTTTTTATTTAGTTACTAAATTTTCAACTACCTTGGAAGTCTGCTGACGACCGATGTGAGATGCAAAAAGGAAGTGAAGAAGAGAATTGCTGTTGCAAAATTGAAATTTCAAGACTTGCGATCCATCTTTGTCAACCGAAACTTATCAATGCCACTCAAAATACGATTACTCAAATGCTACATTTGGTCAATCTTGACTTACGGCTGTGAAGCCTGGACTCTAACTGCTGACCTGGAGAAAAACTTAGAAGCAGCAGAAATGTGGTTTTTGAGAAGGATGTTGAAAGTGTCATTTATTGATCACGTCTCAAATGAAGAGGTTATGAGAAGAGCCGGTGTGAAGAGAGAACTACTCTCCGTAATAATCGAGAGACAACTTCGTTTTCTTGGCCACGTAGTTCGGAAGGAAGGCCTGGAATGTGTTGCGCTGCAAGGAAAAATCGAAGGGAAAAGAGCACGAGGCCGTCAACGCATAACGTATTTGGACAGAGTTAAGAAAGTTACCGGAATCGCCAACACTGCAGAAATCTTTGCCTGTGCTCGTAACCGTCAACGTTGGAGAGACATGGTAGCCCAAGCATGCATCATGCATGGCACCTGAACAGAACAGAACTAAATTTTAGTACTGAAAAACATTTTAGTTGATCTTAATGTAACTTAAATTAAGTATTCCTTAAATATATAGCAAAAGATAATGGCGGTGGGATATATGACGAGCTAGTCAGCTCCATTGTGGCTCAACATTCGTCAATATGGAGCTGGCTCCTCATTCGACTTGAATATGGAGCTGAGAAAAGTACTTTCTAAATAAATTCATCTAGCCGCTTAAGCAGTGATGGAAATCAATATTTTTAAAATGACCGTTTTTAATCAACATGTTAATTAGCTTGTCCCCGTATTTCAGAGCATAATTGACATTTTTTTGTGCGCAATAGCTCTTCAAATTTCACTGCTTATGTGAAATAAGCATCAGCGAAGGATCAGCGACCGTTTCGATGCATATATTTTTAAAATCTCATGTCTGTATACATTATGATTGTGTGTGGTTTTTGTTTCTTTCGTGTTTCTACATATCCCACGTCATTTCATCTTATCCCATATTTACTTTCACGTTTTCATCCCATCATGTAATTTAATATTATGTAAGTAGCTATTATATATATATATCCCTCTATACTTGTAATTTAATACTGTCTGATGATGTCTTGAGAGTCAAGGCGAAACGCGTTACGCTTCTAAATTAAGATTTTTTTATACTTTATTTTTGTATTAAATGGCTCTTTTAAAAGCATTTTGCTTGTCTTTAATATTTATATTAAGAATTCGCTTCCCGCCCGGTATATCCATGGTCACAACTTTGTTATTGTTAAATTTTCTTTTTACATGTGTAAGCAATCAAATTTTCGGTGATATATTGCTGTACTTTGTATTATTTTGAAGGCATAACAATCGAAAAATCTTTTATATCTGCAGCATACAATGCAAACTTGGTTCTTAAATATTTTGTTACTAACGGGGCAACTCAAGTTCGTCCAGCATCATACAAATTTAAAGTAAATGGTTTAAACCCCCAGTGTCCCCCAAGCCCCCCTCTTCCATTTGAATTTTACAAAAGGGTCTTAAGATGCAGCATTAGAATTTTAGAAATTTAAAAAAGAAGCGCATGTCATTAATGTAACTCTTACGGAATTTGCACAACTTTACTGCTGTACAGGGAAGCATTTTATTATCTCTGCAAACTAGTTTGCATTGCAATTACGCTTTCCGCATTTTTAACAGCGTGGTGAAGTTTTTTAACTTGCTTAAAAATGAAAAAAAAAGGATAATACTTCTAGAATATTTCATGTGAGCAGGGAAAAACGAATGATATTGCGATGCTTGTCATGAGCCAAATCACACCACATCACCAAACTTGTATGAGATTGTAGACAGTACGCACATAGACAGAAACTTGTAAACACAAAAATGTACATATAGCATTAACTAAGTCTAAGGTTCATAGAAATACTGTAGTTCTATGAGTCTATGAAAACATTTGATTGGAATGAATAATCAATCTACATAACATTATAACACCAATAATTTACACATGCGCTCATGTTTAATTCGGAAGTTAAAAAATTAAAACTATTTATGTTGTGATTAATGTCTCAAAAATTTCTCAGTGCAGAGGCAATTTTTAGGGCAATTTCGCTTTCGACTGACGTAGGACAAATTTTGATGCCCTCCCTGCAAAAATAGCTTTTAGTTTGCGCCCCCCCACTCGAAAAATCCTGGTAACGCCACTGATCAATTCAATTATAACTGTTTCATTCATTTGTTTTCCTAATAATTTATTAATAGTCTTCCAGGCCTGTTTAGGGTTTTGTTTTTGACCAACAATCCTTGAAGAGTAGTAGTCTTTTTGTATATTTTAGTTAAATACTTACTTTATTCCTGCTTTTCCTGTAACACAGCCTGTCTGTTTCTAAATTTGTTTTCATTGCCTTGTGCTTCAAATAGTCTCAATTTTTCATTAGTTCTTTTATGTCCTTTGTCATCCACGGAAGATTTTTTCCTCCAATCTTTTATTTCGAATGGGTGCATATTTGTCAAAAATCTCAAGAAATAGACCTTTCCAAATTTCCCACATAGCATTAGTATCATGAGGGAAGAAATATATAAAATCCCATGGTTGCTCCCTGAGTTCATCAAGAAACTTTTGCTCATTAAAGTTTTTCATGTTCCTTATTTCCATGATGTTTTCACTTTTCGATATGGAAATTTTCCTGATTGCAAGATTCATAACATAGTCGCTAATACCTGTGTGAATAATTCCTGTTTCGGGTATTTTTCAGTTGTGACTATGTGATCAATCAGACTTTTGGAGCACTTTGTGACTCGTGTAGCCTGATTGATTAATTGAGTAAGCTGATAGGTTTCGTAAAGTGATTTATGTTTCATTACATTTCTCTATTTTCATTATTTATCGACTGCATATTTTTTCAAATTCATTAAAGAACTTAGAGGGAGCACTGGGAGGGGGGGTGGGGTGTAAATTGTGGCAACTAATAATGGTTTGCTTTGTGGCTAAATGATTTCAATGCAAATTGCTTCTACTTTTGATGTGATAAGGTCATTTCTTATTTTGTAGTTTATGGTATTACGTAAATAAATGCAAACTCCACCATTCCTTGATCGGTCTTTTCGGAATAAATCATATCCAGTTACATGCATCAAACCATCGCTAATGGTTGAGTCAAGCCTAGTTTCATTAAAGGCTATTAAATCAATATGACCCGTTGATAAGGAGCACCTTATCTCATCAATATTTATGGGAGACGGGCTATTTTCAGGACACTAATTTAAAACCCTTTTGCTAGAAATCTTGTTATGATCATATGAAAAATTGCTACTTGCATTAATCGAATTTGGTTTTTCAACAGTTAGACCTGTCTTAATGTTTGACGTACAAACTGCAGGTAATCGTTTCACTTTTTTGTCCGATAATTTTGGTCTAAAAAATGCTTATTTTGGCATTATATTGCTGTCTTGAAATAAGTGCAAAATGCACTTCCTAATGCTTTATCACCAGTCATGTTTAAATGAAGGTTACACCTGTTTAGCAGGTTCTTATCAATTTTGTCAATTTAGTCAGGTTGTTTGGTTGAACACGGCCATCATACCTTTTAATTGCGCTTGATACAGCAACTCTTTTGACTTGTTTTTTGGCATCAACTATTAGCTCTTTCATTTTGGATGCAGCACTTTCAGCATCTTCACTCACCAGATTGTTGGTACCCACATGGATAATAATTGAATCTTAATTTTTATTGCGTAGTGTTTCATTCATCTTGGTATGGACGTCCTCTACTTTTGCTCCACTGTTTATCAACACTGTAGACTGTGCACGCGCTGCTCTTTTAATCTTTGGCTGGTTGATGTGCTTCACCATTGAGTCCCCAATAATCAAGGTCTTATTCTTTGTTCTAAATTTTACTTTTAAAGTCGGCTTTTTTGATGAAATGGAGTGTTCTACTCCTTGGTTTTTTTTGTATCACTTCAGATTTGGATTTGTGGAAAGATATATATTCAGCAAATTGAGTCTGAATCTGACTTTCTTTCTCTGGAGAGGGACATATATTCTCATTGGCGAGAGCTTGAAACGTATTCAACAGAGTTAGAGTACCATTAGTGGTCGGTTTTGAATGTGTTGGTGTGATCGAGCTATTTTTATTCGTAGAATTCGCTAATTTTAGTAGAAGGATTTCCTCTTTACACATTTTCTATAAAATTGCAAAAACTTACAGCTACTTAGGTCACAGTTGAAAAATTGAGTAAACTGGATGAGAATGCTTCGATGTCTATGCTACGACCTGCGTACGAATTCCCCATGCAGAAAAGTGTCGCTGATATACGTTGATGTTTGGTACTACTGTATAAGCATATTTTCATGAAATATTGACTTACTTTAAAGCCATTATATATTTTGGGATACGTAGAGCAAACAAACATTGCCCAGAGTCATGAATGTTCATAACGCTACTGACAATAGAGAACATGCTTATCAATGCCATTTGTTTACGTAGCTAAAGAGTTTGTTCAAGTCTGCAGTTCACTTCCTGTCAACTTAGCATACACACTTCATACAAACTCTTTACTTACTAAATTGAGTATGCAACCTCACATACAAGAACATACATCTTTCAAGTTAGCTTAAACAGATTCTTATATAAGTGGCCTTATTGATCTTATTTTCTTAAGAAAAAAGTGACTCCTTTTTGGCTGTCGTAGATTATGCCCAAATTGTTTTTAAAAATTACAGTATGTGCCCTCATACCAAAACTATATTACAGTTTATAGATCTTATCTAGGATTCAGAATTCTATGTCATTTTCATTACTTTGTAAATTAAGAGTTTACTTTTTTGAGTTAGCTATATTTAG